AGCCAACAGGACCACATCATCTGCAAAAAGCAGAGACCTGATCCTCAGGCCACCAAAACGGATGCCCTCCACACCTTGGCTGTGCCTAGAAATCCTGTCCATAAAGGTTATGAACAGAATCGGTGACAAAGGGCAGCCTTGGTGGAGTCCAACTCTCACTGGGAACGAGCCCGACTTACTGCCGGCAATGCGGACCAAGCTCTGACACCAATCATACGGGGACCTAACAGCCTGTATCAGAGGGCCTGGTACCCCATACTCCCGGAGTACACCCCACAGGGCCCCCTGAGGGATGCGGTCAAACGCCTTCTCCAAATCCACAAAACACATGTAGACTGGTTGGGCAAATTCCCACGCACCCTCCAGGATCCTCCTGAGGGCATAGAGCTGGTCCAGTGTTCCACGGTCAGGATGAAAACCACATTGCTCCTCCTGAATCTGAGGTTCAACAATCCGACGGACCCTCCTCTCCAGAACCCCTGAATAGACCTTACCAGGAAGGCTCAGGAGTGTGATCCCCCTGTAGTCGGAACACACCCTGCGGCCCCCCTTTTTAAATAAGGGGACCACCACCCCGGTTTGCCAGTCCAGTGGGACTGCCCCCGATGTCCATGCGATATTGCAGAGCCGCGTCAGCCAACACAGCCCCACAACATCCAGAGCCTTAAGGATCTCCGGGCGGATCTCATTCACCCCTGGAGCCTTGCCACAGAGGAGCTTTTTAACCACCTCAGTGACCTCAGCACCAGAGATTTGAGAGCCCAACCCAAAGACCCCAGAATCTGCTTCCTCACAGGAAGACGTGTCGGTGGGATTGAGGAGGTCTTCGAAGTATTCTGCCCACCGATCCAAAACGTCCTTAGTAGAGGTCAGCAGCACACCGTCCCCACTATAGATAGCATTGGTAGCGCCGAGACGCCGGATGGTGGACCAGAATCTCCTCGAAGCCGTACGGAAGTCTTGCTCCATGGTCTCACCGAACTCCTCCCATGTCCGGGTTTTTGCCCCGGCGACCACCCGAGCTGCGTTCCGCTTGGACTGCCAGTACCCGTCAGCTGCCTCTGGAGTCCCACAGGCCAAAAAGACCTGATAGGACTCTTTCTTCAGCTTGACAGCATCCTTAACTGCCAGTGTCTACCAGCGGGTTCGGGGATGGCCACCACGGCAGGCACCGACGATCCTGCGACCACAGCTCCGGTCGGCCGCCTCAACCATGGAGGCACGGAACAGGGTCCATTCAAACTCAATGTCCCCCGCCTCCCCCAGAACAAGATGGGAATTGAAGCTCCTTCTGACAGGAGACTCTGCCAGACGTTCCCAGCAGACCCTTGCAATACGTTTGGGCCTGCCTGGTCTGACCGGCATCCTCCCCCACCATCTGAGCCAACTCACCACCAGGTAGTGGTCAGTTGACAGCTCCGCCCCTCTCTTCACCTGAGTGTCCAAGACATGCAGCCGCAGGTCAGATGAAACAACAAAGTTGATCATCGAGCTGCGACCTAAGGTATCCTAATGCCAAGAGCACATATGGACACCTTTATGTCTGAACATGGTGTTCATTATGGACAATCCATGACTGGCACAGAAGTCCAATAACAAAACACCACTCGAATTCAGATCAGGGGGGCTGTTCCTCCCAACCACACCTCTCCAGGTCTTACTGTCATTGCCCACGTGAGCGTTAAACCCACTGTTGAACAAAAAGGATTGTTACTTACAGTAGCAACAAAGCCAGGTCACAACCAGTCTGTGATTTTGAAGCCTCCTTAAGTTCCCTGGCGAATGTAGACTGTTCCGATGTTCACTCTGGTTTTAGCTCCTTGCTTCGCATCCAAATAAATTACTTTCCTACTTTTACTTTCAGGCTCCTCCATGATCCCAACAAAAAAAAGCAAAACTGTTCTTTTTGTACTTTATATTGATGGTTGGCGAACTGATAAAGCTAACTACTAGCTTTTATATGCGCTACAGACACTGTGAACAGCTCTACAACACTAGTGTTTCTACCCAAACCACAAAACTGTAAAGTGCCGTTTCTGGTCAGCAGAGGGCAACAGAGTGCTGTCTAGTGTCTGCCTCAAGAATCACTGAAACCAGTTTCAAAGCAATAGCTTAAAGTGTTATATACTCTTTGCTTTAAATAGAACAATTGGTTTTGTTACAATATTTTATTATTAAATAGCATACATGAGTGCTAATAGAATATGATAAAAAAAACTGTTTCAGAACTTGGGATCTTTTATGTTGACTCCAGGAAACGCATTTAAAGCTGACTTTAATAACACAATTAATCCTGATCAAAGACACGCTGCGCTGTCCCTCACTCAAGCAATCATGTACAAGACGCTGCTGGCATAGAGTCAGAAGGGGAGTGCTAACTGTCCTAACTGCAGAGCGGGCTGTAAAAGCTCACCTTGAAAGATAAAGGGGTCAGCTTAACAGCAGAATCTGAGCAGAATGGATTTTTATTTTTACAATATCTCTTATCTGTCAGCCCTTCTGGCTATGAGGAACTGTTGTGCTATTTTGTTACTTTAAAAATAAAGTTTCACCTTGTTTGTTTCAGTCTAACTCCCGCCCACAGACTCTCTGAGGAACAAAACTGTAACCAGAACTGCGGTCTTTATGCTACATATCTGATGGATCCTCTCACCCCCCAATTTAGGCCCACGTTGATCACTTAGTGACATCTGACCACCTGGCCTCTTAAGAATATCTCATCTCTTCATAGAGGTCACAAAAGCGTCCCTTGTGTCAGCATAGGAATCGCTAATTGATAACCACATTCTACCCTCATGGCTGGCGGGGTCATTGTGTCTTCAGCACTACGGGGGGTGGGGTGGGGGGGTGGGGGGGTGGGGGCAGAGGGAGAGTGTGGGCCAGAATCCATCTCCATTAAATTAAAGGAGCCCAGTCCCACAATGTGACCTCCTCTCTCTGGTGATTTATTGCCTGAGCTGGGTAAATGAACATTAAGCTTAGAGGATGGGACGAGTTCACACACACACACACACACACACACACACACACACACACACACACACACACACACACACACACACACACACACACACACACACACACACACACACACACACACACACACACACACACACACTTCCATTCCATATTATGCAGCACTTCACAAGTCTATAAACTCTGCATGAATGTCAGCATCTCATTTTAGAGGTTAAATGACTCAGATGACCATTAGTGAAGGATTTACACAGTTTCTGACCACACATGTAATCACACTAGAAGTGTTTCAAGCGTTCACTAGATGGCGTTCTTTGCTTGAACTGTTTCATCAGATGTTTTTTGTCAAGGTCGCACAAGGTCGAACATTGACTGCTGTTGTTTCTCACATTAGTTTGAGCTCTTATCTTCCAACAGATATGAATAAATCGTGATTACAAACCCTGGAGCTAGTAAAGACAGAACAGTGCACTTTAAATCAAGAGAATTAAATGCATAAAACCTAAATTTTATCTGATAATGGAAAACTAACATATATTCTTTGGAGTTGAAACAATTAATCGAAAAAAGAACCCACATGATTTGTTTGAGTTCGGGTGTAAAGTTGCTTAATTGCATGCAGTTTATGTGTGACTATAATAAACATGACATGACAGATGAAGTGTCTTGTTTTCTGCGAAACAGAAGTGAAGGATTAATGAGAAACAATGAATATAAAATGTGACCGAAGACTTGTTTGGGTCCAGATCTCATACAGAGAGAGGTGCTTTCAACTATGAAGAAAAAAGAAAGGAAAGAGGAATAAAAGACACTGGCAAGAAATCAAGTGGTGCAGGTGTCTGCCTCCCAACAAGCTGCACTGGCACACTGCGCTCTTGGTCCGGCTTGAGCAGGACCTAGAGACTTTGGGAAAATAAACTGAGCCTACAACCGCAAACACACAAAGGGAGTGACTGTTTGTGCATGTGTGTGTTTGCATGCGTGTGTGCGTGCTTGCATATTATCCCTTCATACAGTAGAAAAGAAATCCTTCCAAGAGTTCTGTAAATACCAAGGCAGGATTTAAAAAAAGAAAAAACTTTCGTGTTTATCTAGGCCTAAATCACATAAATCTAACCACACTCGATAAATCAATGCTTTAAAAATCCAAAGTGTGAGTGAGTCAGAAACTCAAGGCTCTCAGACAAAACAGCTCTCATGCTTTACTAAAAATGTGTGCCACAGAATCAGAGTTGATCTAAATTCAGGAAACCTGTTTCGAATTTTAAGCATTTGACCTTTATTTAAAGGGATAAAACCTCATCAGTTAAAGTGGCAAAGCAAACATTGTGTTGCTTTTGGGTATTTGTTAGTAAATGTGTAAAAACTACTTAGCACTGTTTTTCCTTCTATGTAATTAAAATAAATATAGCAAAGAAATTTTTGCAAAGGGACACATGTTAAAACAAGTCAAAGGTTGTTTTAATGTTGCTTAATTTTTAAAATTGGAGCGTTGTGGAAAACATCTGTCAACAAAAAGATGCAATAAGTGGTAAAAAGGTTATTTTAAAGTGTTCATTTAGGGGGAACCCCTAAGAAGTATGCACGTTATCTAAAGAAAATCACAATGCTAGCTTGCTTCTTAGATAATTTTTCCAACAAGAAGCTGTTTGTTTTGAGGTTTTTGCTAACTTTACTTTTTTAAGTGACTCAATAAAAAAACTACATAAAAATTAAAAATTTCTATTTAAATTTAAAAAGTGTTTTTGGAGCTACAGAGCTAACAAGTGACCTGTAAAGTTAGCGGACGGTAAATAAAGATGCACCGGAAATTAATTTCCAAGAAATTTTAGTAAAGTTTTAGAATTCAAAGCAGAAATGGCTAAATTAAATAGAACGGCCATAAAATGCATACTTTGATTAAATAAATAAGCTAATTATTACTGAATTATTCACATTCTGTCGATATTTCCTCTGAATTCAGAGAAAATGAAACCGTTAAAGTGGCACATTTATTTTGAAAGTCCAAACCGGAACCATGGTGGATTACGTCGCGTCTGGACCGCGGGTCAGCAGCAGCCCCAGTCCGGAGGAGAGGATGTGGGTATGCTGACATCTGCAAGCCAGCGGTTTAACTGGAAAGAAGAGTCAGGCTGACAGACAACCGCCTCAGAAAACTCCAGCAAACTCTGAGACATGTAACTTCTCCTCGAAGGTAAACTTCCTCCAGCCTCATCTCGTCTTCTCTGAACCGAAACTCCTTTCAACAATCCGCCTCGTTATCTTTTTAAGCACACAAATCCCACTGCTAACGCTGTTAACTCGTCTTAAATGCGTGTTTTACTTTTTATTTATTCCAAGACAGTTAAAGAAATATATTTTCGTTGTGAATATGATTTATACGGTACTCGTTACGGAAGTTTTGGTTTGTTATGCTTCCGCGTCTAAAAGCTGATATGAACACGGCCAGATTTCATAATGGGAAAGTTTCCTTCCTCTGTCTGTCAAGCAGATTTAGACTCGAACTCTGGATTTGGGTTGACAGATCAGGAAACCTGTTGCTGCACTCTCTCACTGTCTCCATGTATTAACTTCCTGTTAATGCCCAATAATAATAATAATAATAATAATAATAATAATAATAATAGTAGTAGTAGTAATAGTAATAATAATGAGAGAAGGGCTGATCATTTAGTCCAAGCTGTTTTATTTTATTTGGTTATCAGGCTGAAAATCCCTCCTTTCAGCTTGAAACCCTTCTCAGATCTGTCCTCCTGAATGGGGATCCAGTCTTCTAAAAGCTCACAAATAAAAAAAGACTCGCTCAGACATGAGAGATAAGTTTCCTTGGGTCAGCTGATGATTGTGCAACCCATTCCATGGTTTCTGCATGCTATATTACACCCTTTTACAGCTATTTACCTTTCTCCTTTGGCCGGTGGTACAATAAACCGCTCATTGACAGTATGCACTATACATACTATTCATTCCAGGATGAACAGTAAGAGCAAACGAGGGAAATGAGTCCAAATTCAAGCCTGCAGTAAAAGGACATTTATTAGTATCAGGATGATTGAAAATGCACATGTGAGTCCTGTGTGTCGGGATTCAGAGCTCCACCTAATCGCCCTCTGCTTTATTCTGCCAAAGCTCCCCGCTTTGGATATTAGATTCAGAGAGGACAGAAGGTGTGATGGGCAGCCAATAAAAGAGGGTTTTGTCTGCAGGCGTCTCTCCAGTTTGAAACCTCAGGAGTCCAGAGTCCTCTGGCCGGAGTCCAGGCTGGAGTGAAAATGCTGCCTTAAAGGACTCCTAGAGGAAATGAAGTTTTATTTGCATCCTGGTTGTATAGACGCTCACCCAGCAGCCCTCACATCTTTGTCTCTTATTGAAATCTGACTTGTTTTTAATAGAAAATGGGAAATTACCAGCATGGAGAAAAGGGATGCACCCTTGGTTAATGCTACACAGTTATGTGCTTGGATTCAGGATTAAGCTCTACCATTCATGACTGTTGAAATGATTGCATTTGTGCATCTACAAAGTTAACCGCCTCCTTTAATTCCTAATGAGCAAGAGCACGTTTATCTGCAAATGTTTGTTTTTGAATAGAAAAAAAAGTGGAATTTTGCTTTAGGCCGTGTTCTTTGTTAACCCTCTGGAGGCGGGCGTTGCAGATTTGTTAAAACCTACCTACCTGGTTACTCCACATACGTAGTTCATGAGCATTTTTTAACTCAGAAGTACCCCTGAAGGACTCAGTTGGAGCTATTTATACTTTATTTGTGTTATTTTTGTGTATTTTCTTTGAATTTGTGATTAGTTCACTTTATATTTTTTGAAGCATTTATAAAGTTTATTTGCAGATTAATAGTTGTTTATTTTTGTAGTTTGTTTTGTTATTTGCCTTTGTAAGCCAGTCAGGAACAATCTCCGGGTCATTTTGAATGAGTAGGCACTGGTATAGGACCAGCATGCACTGGGGTGGGCTATGGTTTTTTTTTTTACCAGAGCGGGAGAAGCAGCAGGAAAACAGGATCTGTGTTTTGCCAACCTGGAAAATAAAAACCTTGAAGAAAACGCAGCTTTCACGTTTGGACGTTGAACTTCTGCCTGCGTACGAAACGTTACCACAGTGCAGCTTTTAACGTTGGAAAATATGAAGTGAGATGACAAACAAAGGAACCGCCACTACAGACTTAGTTGTTCGTCCTTTTAGCAAAACTTATTTTGAGCCTGAGAGGGTTAAAACCTCATTTTTGTACTTTTTCATTTATTATGGAAGACAGATCAGACGTGTTTTATAGAAAATTTAAGGCCTTTAGGATTATTTTCTTTGTAAGAATTGAGTTAATGCAACAGCCCAAAGCAACAGCACAATTTCCTGTTTGTTTGTTCTTTATTCACACTCTGATGCGTTGTGGTAAAATAAAACAGAACTATTGCAAAGCTAACAGACACACCTCTCATAGTGAGTCACACACTGGATTTATGTAGCACATTGCTGCATTCCCAGCCATAATTTAGCTGCTTCCATCTGTGCAATTTGCATTTAATGAGCATCCTAATGCAGCTCCGAGCACGTGATTATGTTTATGATGTTGAAGTTGATTACCGCGGGTTTGGTCTATTTGAGCTGTGTCCTCAGGGTAATTGTGAATTTAGAGGCAAATTAGACTTCATCATCCTTGGATTGAGGTGTTTTTGTTGGATTAAAACTAATCCTGATATAAATCTTCTTGTAGATTGTCTTCCAGATAAAAAGTGATTTATTATTTTGTCTTTCCTCCCAGATGCTCGTGTCCTGACGGGCATCCTGACGCTTGGGCCCATCACAGAGCCCTTCATCATGAGGGGCCGCTGCTCTCGAAAGCTTGGCGTGTTAGCCAAAGCTGGCTTTTTGCTATGGCTGCTGTGGCTAGGCTATCTTCTATTAGCGCGATCGTCCTTCCCCTCCACTTCTTTTGGAGAGGATGAAGAGGAAGAGCGCGGTCTTCAGGCGAGGCAGCTCTCTCTAGAGGAGAGTGGTATAGAAGGGCAGCTGGCCAGGCCCTTGTATGTTAAACCACCGGCGGACCAGAATTCGCCGGGGGAGTGGGGTCGAGCCACTCACCTCACCCTCAGTGCAGAGGATAAGAAACACGAGGAGGAAACGGTGGAACGCTATGCCATCAACATCTTTGTCAGCGACAAAATCTCCCTCCATCGGCACATCCAGGACCACAGGATGACTGAGTGAGTTGATTGAAGACAAGAAGAACCTCTTTACTTTTACTGTTTTCTGTCATCTTTGACTTCTTAAATTCACAGCATTAAATCACTTTTGGGAAAGATAGCCTAATATCTAATGATAAAGATGGAGCATGAGATCGACCTTCAGATTGGTGCTGTGTCTGCAGAGATGCGGGCGTTGTACCGGTCTGTTGTGGTGGAGAGAGAGCTGAGCCAGAAGACAAAGCTCTCTATTTACCGGTCGATCTACGTTCCTACCCTCACCTATAGTCACGAGTTTTTGGGTAGTGACCGAAAGAATGAGATCGCGGAGACAAGCGGCCGAAATGAGTTCTCTGCAGGGTGGCTGGGCTCTCCCTTAGAGATAGGGTGAGAAGCTTGGTCGTCCGGGAGGGGCTTGGAGTTGACCCGCTGCTCCTCCACATCGAGAGGAGCCAGTTGAGGTGGCTCGGGCATCTGGTCAGGATGCCTCCTGGATGCCTCCCTGGTGAGGTTTCCTAGGCACATCCAACCGAGAGAAGGCCTAAAGGAAGACCCTGGACACGCTGGAGAGACTATGTCTCACGGTTGGTCAGGGAATGCCTTAGGATTCCCCCGGAGGAGCTGGTCCAAATGGCTGGAGTGAGGGAAGTCTGGGCCTCCCTGCTTAGGCTGCTGCCCCCACAACCCTACCCCGGATAAGCGGCCGAAAATGGATGGATGGCCTAATAAATCAGTACTTGTGTTTGACGATTACAACATGACCCCTTTTGTGTAGTACCTTCCCAGAGCGGCTCAACTTGGCTGCTCCTGGTTTTGAGTCGTTTCCACTAGATCTGTGGTTGTTGTCCCCTGTTTGATACCTGCTTCGATGTGGTTCCAAGTGTACCGAGCTGGTCCAAAAATGTCACGCCAGAATTATCCACGAATCAGCTAGGGAGTGGATACATTGGTTGTTTTAAAGGAACTACTCACAATTACAGTCCGACCCACAATCTTTCACAAATCAATATTAGAGTAATAGATACACCGAAACCAACACTTGAGACTATTTGAGGATGGTTAGGACCCAAAAATGCAGATACCCAGGATGACACGAGGCAGGAGTAGATATATAAAGAAAAAATCCTTTTATTTATAGGATGAACCCAAGCAAACATAAAACCAAAAGGGCAGGAAGCCAAAATCCAAAAATCCAGGACATGATCAGGAAATCCAAAAACACTAGGGAAACGAGCAGACTGACAGAATAAATCACAATGGACCGACACAACACAGAGACAAGACAGGGCTTCAATACACTGGGAGGAACAATTAGGGAAACAGGAAGCAGGTGTGTGGAGTGAGGGCTGGAGGGAAGGCAGGTGACAACAATTATCTAAATGGGGAAACAGAACCAGAGGAGGGCAGATAAACCTAAAACTATAAAACACAAAACTAAACCTAAAGACTGAGGGAAGGGCTCACACACACACACACACACCCACACACACACACACACACACACACACACACACACACACACACACACCCACACACACACACACACACACACACACACACACACACACACACACCGAGCAGAGGAATGACACACACACCGAGCTGGGGACAAAGAGGCTGGAGCTACAAGGACACAGATCGTGAAGGAAGACCTGGAGGGGCTGGGGATGACTGAATGACACAGGACCTGGGAAGAATGATTTAAAAGGGCTACAAACAGAAGACACATAAATGAGATGCAGACAAAGGACACACGAGGGCGCTATGAGACACAAAAGGGGAATCTGGAGAGGGATGGAGAACATGAGGAAACACATGAGGGAAGACGCAGACCATGACAACACTGTGGTCCAATGAGGAAGTTCAGGCAAGGAAAGGATTCAGAGGGAGCTAGAAGGAAGAACGTGCACCAAGAGGGATTTTAAAGAGGTGTTGGAGCTTTTTTGTACGTTTGTTCAGTGTAATCCTTCCATTGTTTTGATTATTTTCCAAACACAGTTTGGTTTTTGACTATTTTTTGCTGACAAGTTTTGGCTAACTTATCAGTAAAAAAGGTAAAAACAAATCGTTTACGATGCTGCGTTTAGAAAAGAATTAAAACAATGGAAGATTTTGGAGCTGATGGCCTCTCATGGCAACTAGCGCACCCCAAAGAAATGCCGGGAGGAACTCAGAAAGTTAAAGAGCGATTAACACAACACGAAGGACCACAATGGCAGAAGCTGGTCAAACCACAACCCCACCCACTAGAGACGGTTTTGAGTCGTAATGGAAAACCACCCGAACCACGTAGAGTGGTGCTGAGTTGAGCCTCTGAGTAGGTATCGGGGGAAAAGACCAATAGACATTTAAAGCTACAATAGCAAATCTGCAAAACAAGCTAGCTTAAAACATGTTTATGCCTCTCAACTTTCTAACATAGTATAGCTAGGAATATATGATGGAGATGTGTTCCATTACCGGGGGCATGGCTTAGGGACAATAGAGCTCCGGGAGTTGACGTCACTTCTCCCAGCATGCAACAGTTCAAAACGAAACAGCACCATTTTGGCAGGCAGAAGCCGGCAGCTAGACTATTTGTTGTCATAAATCTCACACGGGAAATATGGTCAATTCCTGTTGTGCCCCAGGATGCCAGAACAGACAGGCACACGTCAAGGGAAGATCCTTCTACAGGATTCCCCAAGATCCGGAGCGCGTTGGATCATTGTAATAAAACGCGCTAGTGACCGGGCTAAAATGAAGCTGTGGGATCCCGAGAGTAAAGGATTTCACTTATGCAGCGACCGCTTCATATCAGGTACTTAAACCAACGTTTCCTCAACTGTGTATGGTATTTATTTTAAATGCTTTTATTACGATTCTTAGCGGGCTTCCTAAACTTATTTTGGCGTGGCTTTTTCTGTCTTATTACTCATAGCAACAAGTAAACATCATGTAAAACGTTGCCTCGTGAGTTCTGCGTGCTGCCGTTTACGTGTTTTATGATCATAGCAATTAACCGGCTAAGCTGTATTTAATTTTTAAGCAATGGTTGATCAACTGTCGGATCACACATAAAAAGCACTTTGGATTGCTATTATCTGTCTCACCGAGACAGATCTCAGACAGATCCTGAGACGCTCCTGCCTGACATATTTATTTTATTCACGGAAAAAAATCAGACTAGTGATTTCTCTTGGCGTTCAGTTTATACATTCAAACAGCACAGCACTCTATTTAAACTACTTACGTGTAAATCTGTTATTTGTCCATCCATCCATTTTCATCCGCTTATCCAGAGTCGGGTTGCGGGGGCTGTAGCGTCGAGAGGCCCAGACTTCCTTCTCCCCAGCCGCCTGAGCCAGCTCCTCCGGGTAAATCCCAAGGGGTTCCACGGCCAGGTCCAGTAAGAAGTCCGCTCCGACAGCTTCTGGCGTTTTTAAAAAGTATCCCAGGGACACGGTAAGGGTCGGAGATGTTTAGTCTATTTAATTTCTGACTCTATAAAACGATTTATTTGGTTTTAAAGTGTGAAGTAAACTCCAACGAAGTAAAATCCAAGCCGATCACGTTCATTTTGTTTACATTTGTTGCCTGCCAACATGGCGTCTACTAACTGAGAGCCACGTGGGGTCCGGAGCTCTATAGCCACTGTAACTGTGTTTGTGTTTAAAAGCCAGTTTGTTTTGCAAATGTCCTATTGCAGCTTTAATAAGTCTCACCTAATCTTATGCTCTGTGCAAATTTAATGTCGACAGCTAAGCCAACACCTTCTAGAGGCTTTAATGCTTGGCATGTATGAAACCTCACGCAGCAGTACCTCAAATCTCACCCGTAGACGGACGAGTGAAATCTGAACAAAAAAGAGTGAATAGAACTATTTCTCTGAATGCTAGAGACAACGTGAAGCAATCTGTGATGCGATGCTGTGTTTATTGAAGCTGGTGAATTGATTCTTTTTATCCTCAGCTATTCTTGGCCCTGCCACTGTGATGAAACACCGTGTGTCATGTCTTTTATTGGTAGTTTCCTCTTCCGCCCTTGCTCTATCCTTTACTAGCTCCTTTAATGAAAGCCAGATGTAGCTGTAGGAGAAACACCGATTGTGTTTGTTTAATGTGCCTCAAAGTGTACCGTGAGTGATTAGCGTGCTTTAGCAGTTAGTTAGCCTTTACATCTGAGTATCTAGGTAAAACTGGAGTAAACTCCTCTGCTACCACGATGCGTCCACAACTAAAGATGAAAAGATACTCTCCTCTCCCAAATGGTTTGAGAAAACTATTTGGGAGGTTCAAAGTCACGCCCCATGCCCATTCAAAGGTTGTGCTGAAGCATGAGATAACCTTTTCAAACCTCAGCAGTAGTTTGAAAAGAAATCCTGAAGCAATCGAGCACGAGTTAAACCTGTTGCATCTGAAGGATATTTCCGTAATGGTTTTTGTTTCCTCTGCTAAAAAAAAAGAACCTTTTTTGGGTTATAATAATAATAATAAAATTGTTCGTTATTGCTTATATTGGTTTAATTTTCCACCAGAAGGAGGAAGACATGTTAATACGACAGGATTCATGGGATCTTATAGTTTACCCATGGCTGAATTCTTACTCATAACCCTGACATTGAAGGCCAAGAAGCTTTATTTTCATAAAAGCAGCAGAAGCAATCATAAAGGTACGCCTTAGATAAGTTTGATGCACGTTCCGGTTACCCGCGATGCTCCAGAATCGAGTAGAAGACCAGCTGGCTATGCTCAGGGACCGGATTGGTATTTTCTGCATGTGCAAACTCAAGCTGGACTGTTTTCACGTAAATAGAAATCTGTAAATATTGCATTCTCACAGCCGTTTTCACTGCTCACAATCCACCGAGCTCAGAAAAGCTGCTTCAGATTTTTAGTTGTGATTGACGAGGACCCTCTAAACGGCTTTGACCCTAATCCTAATTCATTCTTACTCGTGTCAGCTAATCTTTGATGAGTTTGAAAACTACATCTGCTCGTTGCCTAATGACATCTCCAGTTTTGTGCCGTTCAGCATTTACCGGTGTCGACACTCTTACATCATGTTACATCATAAAAGCAGCGCCAAACGTTCCCCTTTCTGCTTCCATGCTCTGATGCTTCAATTTACACCTCTTCCCTTTTACATCCACTTTCGCTTTGATCCCTGAACACCTCCAGTTCTTTAGCTCTTTTTCTCTTCTCTCTCGCTGTGGCATGTTTCTCTTTGGTGTGATACCCCCCCCCCCCCCATTCTTATTTTCCACAGCTTTTTATTATTTTAATGGCTGCCGTCTGGATTAAGATCACACACCTTCTCCTGATACACAGGCAGCTAAAGCCTCTCAATCATGTGAACATGCTGTTTGCATTGTAAATATGTACCTAACATGTATACTTTTGCTAATGTCAACTCTCCCTGGCTTTCTCCACCCACATAAACACACATTCATACCTCAGATGCCGGAATAAGAAGTTTGACTACCGGCGCTTACCCACCACCTCTGTGATCATAGCCTTCTACAACGAGGCCTGGTCCACCCTGCTGAGGACTATCCACAGCGTGCTGGAGACCACGCCAGCCATCCTGCTGAAAGAGATCATCCTAATTGATGACTACAGTGACCGAGGTCTGACTCTGCCAATAAACCCAGGGTGACTTTTTGTCTTGTAAAGCAAACCGGGCGACAGGATTTTGTTTCACAGAGGCGTATAAAGAGTTCTCAAAAGCAACTCTGAATCAGACTGATTGGTAATTATCTGCTGAAACTATTCCAAAAACACATCACAGGGATAGTTTTATATATATTATTATATAGTTTTTATATATATATATATATATATAATGTTTTGGTGAAGCTGCTGCAGTCACTATTAAACCAAGTAGTTTGGTTGATTACATGCAGGTCGCTGCTCCAGCTCGTTTTCTCTGGAGGATTCGTGCTTGTGAGAAAGTCTGGTTTTGTTTTGCTCACGGGCATCAAACTCATTCGCATTTTGTTTTATGACAAAAAGTCAGTGTGAGGTGTTTGAACCTTCTGTGTCAGCGTTCTTTACTAATGGGAGATGTTTGTGAGACACAGCAGTAACAGTCCTGATTCAAATCCTGCACACTAGCTTTACACCAGGTTTAGTGAATGGAGCTTATTTAAGTATGGCAAGCTGATTAATCATAAAATAGTTAGACTCTTCAAAGAAAAATCTATAGTTATATTCTTCCACATCAAAATGGATATTTTTGCAATTTTGAATAGTTTTATTTATCTATGATCAACATTTTAAATGCATCAGTGGATAGATGATGGATGGATGGATGGATGGATGGATGGATGGACAAATGGATGGATGGATGGGTGGATGGATGGATGGATGGACAAATGGATGGATGGATGGATGGGTGGATGGATGGATGGATGGATGGATGGGTGGATGGATGGATGGATGGGTGGGTGGATGGATGGATGGATGGATGGATGGATAGACAAATGGATGGATGGGTGGATGGATGGATGGATGGGTGGGTGGGTGGGTGGGTGGGTGGATGGATGGATAAATGGATAATTGATGGATAGACAGACATATGGATGGATGGGTGGATGGATGGGTGGATGGATGGATGGATGGGTGGATGGATAAATGGATAACTGATGGATAGACAGACATATGGATGGATGGGTGGCTGGATGGATGGACAAATGGATGGATGGATGGACAAATGGGTGGATGGATGGATGGGTGGATGGATGGATAAATGGATAATTGATGGATAGACAGACATATGGATGGATGGGTGGATGGATGGATGGGTGGATGGATAAATGGATAACTGATGGATAGACAGACATATGGATGGATGGGTGGATGGATGGACGGACAAATGGATGGATGGATGGACAAATGGGTGGATGGATGGATGGGTGGATGGATGGATAAATGGATAATTGATGGATAGACAGACATATGGATGGATGGGTGGATGGATGGATGGATGGATGGATGGACAAATGGATGGATGGATGGATGGATGGATGGATGGATGGTCAGACGGGTGGACATCTAAAATGTTAATTTCTCAAAATAACATAATTATTTATGGAACACCTTGAGCTGAAAGCCCATCACACACTATGTAATATTGTAATATATATTACAACAGCCTGCCATATGTTGTAACTCTGACAATGATACCAGTTTATCTCAGAAACTGGTTATGGTAGTGGCTCATTGTGGAATCAGTTTTAAGACCCAGCTAGTCAGAGACATTACACCATATGACGACTTCAGTGAGCACCGAGCTGCTATTTCCTCTCCTCCTACCACCACAACCAACTGGAATGCTAGACTTGCCACTCCTGAAACAGAATGGCTTCAACAAGCAGGAGAACTGATGACTTCATTTCTTTTTATTTACTTTTAACCCAAGCTAAATTGTTTGTTCAATCAATGTGTCTTTTTATCTCAGCTATATTAGCCCAAAATACACAAAACCATTGAAAAGCTACATCAGTATCTTTAAATGAACAAAGGCAGAAAATGATGGTTATGTAAAAAGTATTAGAAGGGATTACTTTGGCATTTGTGTGATTTGTGTACCATAGGCTTCCTGAAATCCCAGCTAGCTGAGTACATCAGTAAACTACAACGAGTGCGACTCATTCGCACAAATAAAAGAGAAGGGCTGGTACGGGCACGTCTCATTGGTGCCACCTACGCTATTGGGGACGTTCTGACATTTCTTGACTGCCACTGTGAGTGCGTCCCCGGCTGGATCGAGCCTCTGCTGGAAAGGTGACCGATTTAGACAATCAGGAGCTTTCTGAATGAACTAAACTAAAAGTCTCACCCAGTTGTGGCTTTTTGTGCAGGATTGCTGAGAATGCCAGCACCATAGTGTGCCCTGTGATTGACACCATTGACTGGAACAACTTTGAGTTTTACATGCAAACAGATGAGCCGATGATTGGGGGATTCGACTGGAGACTCACCTTTCAGTGGCACTCTGTTCCTGAGGAGGAGCGCAGGAGGAGAAAATCTCGAACAGACCCAATTAGGTAGGGATGTGACCCGTTTTAAAAATACTTAGCACAAATTACTTTATCAGATGATGTATTCTTAATTTCAAAGTTGTCAAAAGCCTCTCACTACAAACATTCATCTGTCATCAGTATAATTTAGACAGTTTTCCCACCCATAACTGTGTGACTGTTCTTTAAACACCGAGGTTTCTTATGTTTTTTGCTAAATGAGAATTCTCATGATACAAGCTAAGTCTTGTCCCTGTGTGCATACAGATCCCCTACAATGGCAGGTGGGTTATTTGCAGTGAGCAAGGCCTACTTTGAGTATCTTGGCACATACGATATGGGCATGGAGGTGTGGGGAGGAGAAAACCTGGAATTGTCTTTCAGGGTGAGTTCACTTTGCTTAAATACTAGAGCTCCACAGAGTTATGTTGAAGCGTCCAATTCACAGTTTACATGTGTGTGATAGTCACATCTATGGTCCTGCTGCAATGTTGGAGGTAAAAAAAACCTCAATTTGTGACATACACTGTTTATAGTCAGTGAGGGAAAAGTTTTTAAAAACCACCTCTTCATGTGAAATATTGTTTGGGTTTTTTTCCATTGGCTATTTAATATGCGAGTCAGCATTATACTACACTGCAACTGATTAACACTACACACCTGAAAATAGAGGGTGGCTCTATTGACCTATAGGACAATAGTTGAAGATTTTACCACAGATGGGGTAACCCTTCACATATTAAATGAGGTAATATGTAGAGCAAACGCTTACAGATGTAGGTTTAGTGTGTTAACGGTTTGAAACTAATATGAGCATGGTATAAGAACTTTGAGATGTATGAAGAAAATGTAAAAAAATCCAGCTGTTGGGTATGTTGGACTGTGGACGTAAGATGTTGACTACTTTTTCTGAATACTTCAGTTAGACCCTCTCAGATGTAATAAATTAATTTTGGTTCAAGATGGTTCTGTTGTTTAAATGCTATGAGGGTCTGCATTCTGAATTGGACATTGTTTTGTATTTCTGAGTGATTTGACAAAGCGTTTACTATCTGCAGTTATGATTGTATCATGCTGCAAAATTTGCCAATTTGAGCCACTGAAATGTCATTTACCACTCATGGTGAATAAAACGCCAATGTTTTCATTGGCAACAACATAACAACTTGGCAGGAGTGCAGCATAACCTAAAGTGCCATTCCAGTCATTTGATGACAATTCTTTTTGCAATATTGCAGGGTTAGAAAACATCTCAATGTGATTCTTTTTCCAATACAGAGAAGCCGTACCAAATACCTCTTAAGGAAAAGTAATTAATCCATGAAGTTAAATTTACTGACACTTGAAAGGTTCTTGCGTCAAAAGAAAAGCTGTTCCTAATACTTTGTTTTTAATAAATGCTAGCTCACCAACAATCAACTAATCAGTCAATCACTCAAATCAATACTAATACTTTGTTTTTAATAAAAAAAAATACAGACTCAAAAACAGTTTCTTCCCCAAAGCAATAACTACCCTGAACTCACACATGCACTGATAACACAGCCCCCCACTTCCCACTTCCTCCATTGACCACCATTATCTGTTGATACCAAATTCCACGTGCAATAATTGTATATACATAACATTACTGTCCATATGTAAATAGCGCTGCAGAAGTGTCCCCCCCCACCCCCAGTATGTTTGTGTTACACTGAGTAGGAGATGCTCTGTATCTCACTTTACACCTGTATAGTGACAATAAAGGTATTCTATTCTGTTCTATTCTATTCTATTCTATTCTATTCTATTCTATTCTATTTTTAATAAATGCTAGATCACCAACCAATCAACTAATCAATCACTCAACCAACAAATCAATGCTAATACTTTTGTTTTTAATAAATGCTAGATCACCAGCCAACCAACTAACCAACCAACCAACAACCAACCAACCAACCAATCAATCAATACTCATACTCTGTTGTTAATGATGCCAGATCACCAGCCTATCTATCTATCTGTCTGTCCGTCCGTCCGTCCGTCCGTCTGTCCTATACTATGTTGGTAATAATGCCTGATCAATCAATCAATCAATCAATCAATCAATCAATCAATCAAACAATACAATACTAATACTAATGCCAGGTCAAAAACCAACCAATCAATGAATCAAAACTACTTTGTTGTTAATAAATACCAGATCACCAAAAAAACCTACCAAACAACTAACCAACCAATCAATCTTTATTTATAAGGCTTTTTACACCAAAGTGCTGTACACAATTAAAACCATGCACATTTAAAGATACTGACTATACCAACAATTAAAGAAATATAATAATGAACCATAAATACCAAAGGTAAAACAGCCTGAAGAAGTCTGGTCATCTGGTATTAAAAGCCATGGTAATAAAGATACATCAGGACATTTGTACCAGCTGGTTACAAACATCTGCTTTTATTGTGGCAAGAAGCTAAAAACTTAGACGTAGTACCTGTATAATACCTCAAAAGTCTGAGTTTAGGTTTTCTGCACCCGTCATCTGGTCCATAGAGATCCAAAACTTCTCACCTTCAGGTTTGTGTTTTTTTTCTTTGATAGGTGAGGTCATCATCACAGATTAAACTTTTTATGTCCTTTAAATGTCCTCATTAATGAAGGAATGCCAGTCAGATGGAAGTTATTTTCTTTCCAAAGGATAAAGCTTATTGGTGCAAGATACACAGACAGCCTTTTTTTAAGTTTGCACAGAATCCTTGTTTCAAGATTGAGCATTTACACATTGGTATGTCATTACAGGGTGATGTCTGCAGGCATCAGCATTTTAATAAAACATGCATACATCTTTAAGCACAGGATCATCAATACAAGGTGGCTCTGTGTGCAGCAGCAGAGTCTGATGCACATAAACCTTTATGTAAACCAAACCGCCTTCAGTTGGTCCAGAACTCTGCAGCGAGGCTCCTAACTGGAGCAAACAGAAGAGCTCACATCACTCCTATTCTGTTGTCTCTGCACTGGTTACCCGTTAACTTTAGAGGTCATTTTAGAATCCTGACTATAACTTTCAATGCTCTACATGGTCAGGCTCCTCCCTATATTACTGAACTGTTAAAGCCTTATGGGCTCGACACACAGGAGGCGACAAACGACCGCGATCAGCGAAATTTGTCACTGTCACTTTTATTACCTGACACACGGGAGGCGATCCACGGCAGCGGCCAGCGGCAAAGCCGTCTACGCGTTCTGTTCCATGGCGAAATCGAAACTTCCGTTGTTTTGTTTGGCTGTGTCAGGTTGGAGGGAATTAAGGTTATTTAAGCGGTTCAGAGTTAATAAAGTGGTAGATATGATGTTTCACAAGGTGCTGCTAGAGTTATGAGAAATCTTACTCCTGATTTTACTATAAAACATAATAATAATCAACTTCTCCTCCATGTTTGCTCGGAGACGTACGGAGCATCCTGTCCGCTCATTGGTCAGTGAATGAAACCTGCGTTGATTGGTCCTTGTCCGAGCGACAGCGATGAAAAGTTGAAAATATTTCAACTTTCTGGGATCACGTCGCTGGGTCACCTGTGCACGACATGTGCATGAGCGCAAAATTTCACACGCACGTTTTTTGCATTTCGCTTGGTAGGAGGGAGACCCGCGATTATCGCTTTGTCGTGCATGTCTCATTGAAAATGAATGGAGGAGAGGCGATGTCGCCTCCAGTGTGTCGAGCCCATTATGCTCTAACCCGAGCCCTCAGGTCCACACACCAGAACCTTCTAGAAGTTCCAAAGACCAGATTTAAAAGTCAAGGTGATCGCTCCTTCCAGACTGTTGCACCCGGACTCTGGAATGATCTTCCTTACACAGCGTTGACAGTCTGGACACTTTTAAAAAAACAGCTAAAAACTCTTTTATTTAAAGCTGCATTTACCTAAATCTTTTACTTTCTTATTTTTAACTCAAATTTGTAATATTTCATCTGTTTATGAAATTTTATAATTTTATGACAATTTTTTTCTGATGTGAATCTTTCTGTTTTGAGATCATTATGATTTTATATTTTGTTTTGAATGTGAAGCACTTTGTGATTCTATATCTGTGATAAGTGCTATATAAATAAAATGTACTTACTTATTTACTTACTAAACATTTTGACAGCCCCTGTGCCTTTAAAGCCTTGGGCCCCCAGGATGGGAAGTACTCAACAGTCTAATGGGACACACATCAGCATCTGCCACTCAGTCAGAAACTCATCCTGACTAAAAACGTACAACGATGCCATCGTTTTTCACTTCCTTGCATCACTCCAGATGATTTCAGGCTGTTTTCAGAATTGTAAATGTCTTTATTCACAGCAGTAAGATGAATGTGCGCTCACCCCGAGGGACGTGTTTCCTATGTGGAAATAAAAACGCACCTCTCTTTCTCTCTCTGGGACTGCTTTGCCCTACATAATTTATGTTTTCTGAATTGGTTTCAGGTTTGTTTTGGGAGTGCAGGGTTAAAATTCCTGATGAATTGAGACGGGTTGGACCTGTCTTGTCTTGTTAAGGTCGTTCAGCAGAAGGCGCACGATAACAGATTTGCCTCGTGTAATTAGAGCATTGCTGAACTACAGAAAAAACCCTTTGATTTTTAACTGATGTGTTTTTATTTACTTTTTTCTGTGATGCAAGTCTTGCATAGTAATCTGATACCATAATTCAGGATTATGTCACAGTGCAGAAGCAGGGGTTTTGTTTTTGCGGTAAAAACGAGGAGTGAGAACAGTTATTTTGAAAACCTCTGATCAGTCCTCTAAAATGTGTTGTTTCATCCTTTTTAACGTTTGCATTTTATTTAAACTCAGAAATCTGTCACAGTTTCAGCAAAGGTGGACATTTTACAGCCCAGACTGCAAACTGCAGTTTGAGATAAAGCTATGATGCGGGATTATACCAAAGTGGAAGGCTAGAGGAGTAAAAGATGTTAAGCAGTGAACATTTTATGGCCGGTAGCTGCATGAATAAAGCCTTTAGTCTGGTATTCACAGAGTAGAACGTCGCTGACAGGAACTGAAATCTGAACAGTTGCCAATCTCACACTCTTAAAAGCTCTTTGGTGGTCTTAGCAGGATGTATATTAAATGTCACCGAGTAGGTTTTAATGCCTTTGACTGATTCTGAGCACTCAGGCGTACTGCCTACACGATACTTTCCTCCTTTCAGTTGCACAGACGCCCGTACATGCCTATAGTAGAATTGATTTATAATGGGGGAGGGGGGGGGGTCCAAGCTTTGTGTCCAAGCTTTCTAGCCTGGCAAGCCATCCTATATATGTGAATACTACTGTGTCTTTCAAACTGTCTCCACATGCTATTGGGCGACGAACAACATGACATACTCACCGCTACAGATGTCCATCAATGGAGCAGTCCACTATACGTAGTCAAAAATGCAAATATATCCTTTTTCTAAATGAAGGACTTATTTTCGTCTATCTGCTCTTGACTGAAAGAAAAGCCCAAGTCTAAATAGTCCAAAGTTGATGCCAAAGTCTTTCAAATGAGCCACCGCCATCTTATTTGTTCTGCTCTGTTCTGCATCATCCTGCCCGCCAAACTGATAGAGCGCTGTGACTGGCAAGACATGAAACTGTTCAGGCCAATGGCTGACCTGCTGAGGCTATACTGGCTAGAACGACATGCAGAGCAAAGACCTTTTGCTTTGTTACAGTCTGTCTTGGTTTCTAGGCTAACAGAACCCAACACCCTTAGAGCTTTATAGCTCAGGTAGAATTACCAGTAGACACATTATTCAGAGTTTAAATAGGTCACAGAAGATTGGATTTAGCATGACTGAGTTGGTATAGCAACGTATTTTGTCATTTTACTACAACTGCAAATCAGTTTTACCATTTTAAAAGAGTTTGGTGTTAAAATTTTGAGCTGTCTAAACATCCTTCACATTTTCTCTTACCCAGGCTTTCCACCAGCTGCGTAGTGCCGCGTAACAATCAATTCAGTTCAATTCAAGTTTATTTATATAGCGCCAAATCACGACAAGAGTCGTCTCAAGACACTTCACATAATAAACATTCCAATTCAGGTCAGTTCATTAAGCCAATCAGAAATAATGTTTCCTATATAAGGAACCCAGCTAATTGCATCGAGTCACTGACTAGTGTCAGTGACTATACAGCAATCCTCATACTAAGCAAGCATGCAGCGACAGTGGAGAGGAAAACTCCCTTAAACAGGATTCCACCATGATATCAGCGGCACGTTCGTTCCCATCAGGAACGTTTCAGACAAGAATCTGCAGCAAAAGCATTCCACGCAGCTGGTCTCTCGAGGTCATGAAAGAGAATAACAAGATCACATGTGATTTTGACCTCTCACGTAATAACAAGCAAAGAAAAAGACAGCGGTGTGTTTTCTAAATGTCTGTTCATCTCCTGTTCTTTTTGCCTCGGCTATCGAGGCACCACAGGTCACTCACTCAAAATCTGTGTGTCTTTTATTTTGAAAGTTGCCAGATGATTTACACTGCTCCCGTGTTTGACTTCCTGTCTGGCTCCATCTGAGCTACTGAGCTTGACGCATTTTGGAAACGTAGCATAGTAAAAAATAGATCCGACGTGTAAATTTAGCAGAGCAACGTCATTGTGCTTTTGGGACGTGTCCAAGACTCACTGGAAACACACCCATGGAATATAACTGCCGCTGTTAGCTGCTTATTACGCTTGGTGAATGTTCTGCAACTAATACGCATCTGGTGAAAGCGGAGATGACACTGTCAGTTCATACTTCCACCTGGTTTGTCTCTCGCTGAAACTAGAATCATCTCAAAAACTGACTTGGTTTAAAGCTTTTGTTTCTTCTTCCTTGTTTCCTTATTGTAGTCAGACGCAGTTGTGTGGTTACCATGGTGACCCTAATCAGCCACTGGCTGCAGCCCAACATTTCTTTAAAAACTGTTCTTTTTGCTATTTTCATAAAATGTATGCATCAAAAACACAATTTGTCCCAAATGACTATCGGGATTCATAAGGGAAAATATGTAAAGCTGTTTTCTCACCGTTCCACCTAACGTTTCTAATGGTATTTCATATTTTATTTGGGGCTTTATTTGAGCTGTTAACGTTTCATGTTGCTGACAGACGGCTCTACTTGAGCAAACATTGGTCGACAGTCATTTCTCAGACGTGTGTGAGCTCGCTTGTGCGTGAGACTGCACCCACATTTGTAGAATTTGATCAGAATGCTCAGCTAGCACCGGCGTACACCTTCAAATGCTCCGGGTTAATAATAAATGAACATAACAATGTAATATTGTGGCAGCAGACAGGATATTTCCCACAAATTCCAGATTGTCACTCAAGCAGAAAATGATTGCATAAAAGAGTCAGTCACAGAAATGTAACCATATGCAAGTATTTTAGATTTCTTTGCTCTTGCAGGTGTGGCAGTGTGGAGGCAGTTTGGAGATCCACCCCTGCTCTCATGTGGGCCACGTGTTCCCTAAAAAAGCCCCGTACGCTCGGCCCAACTTCCTCCAGAACACGGTACGAGCTGCAGAAGTTTGGATGGACTCTTATAAACAACACTTCTACAACAGAAACCCTCCTGCCAGAAAGGTCAGACTCTCAAACAAAACAACTTTTACTTGTATCAAGTGCAGCTTGTTGCTTTTCTAACAGTGAGTACTGTAGAAAGTGACTCGTGCTCAATATTTGATTTTTGACGTCCAACACAAGTTACCTGTCTAGATGTCAGCATATGATCTCCCTCTGTCTGCATCACTGGCCCATTTAAGTGTGTGTCTGTCAGGGCTTTGGAAAGGTGTGTGTGTGTGTGTGTGTGTGTGTGTGTGTGTGTGTGTGTGTGTGTGTGTGTGCATTGCCTCTCAGGTCTCACCACTGGGCACCATAAAAAATTCATGTATCTCAGTTACACCCATTTCAAATAAAGTACATTATTAATGTCTGGGATCTTTGATCAAACAATAAATTAGCTGGTCAGAGGGAGATTGAGCACAGCATGGCCAGAGTTTAAAAGAACAGCAGCTGATGATATTGTTGAAATTATTCTTGAACATTCCAGTGGAATAGCTAACTTTTCTGATAAACCCACCTTTTCCTCCTTTTACTCGTCTCTTGTTTTGTGATAATCACCATTTGCAGGAGAAACAGGATCCCCAGTGCTAAATGTGGTAAAATGGTAAATGGCCTGTATTTGATATAGCGCCTTCTAGAGTCCTGGAACCCCCCAAGGCGCTTTACAACACAACCAGTCATTCACACATTCACACACTGGTGGGGATGAGCTACGATGTAGCCACAGCTGCCCTGGGGCGCACTGACAGAGGCGAGGCTGCCAAGCACTGGTGCCACCGGTCCCTCCGACCACCACCAGCAGGCAAGGGGGGTTAAGTGTCTTGCCCAAGGACACAACGCCAGCGACAGACTGAGCGGGGCTCGAACCTGCAACCTTCCGATTGCGGGGCGAGCTCTTATCTCCTGTGCCACCGTCGCCCAATAAAGCTAAAGGCTACTGCAACTGAACAGTAACACAAGCTAAAGACATAGTAGTTTTGCTGCTGCATCGTTATGAATGGAGATAAAAATTGAACCAATTCAGCAGAAACCAACTTTTTACTTCTTTTTTGTGTAAAAGAAAAAACTGAACCACAGATACGGTTAGAAAAGTAGCATCAGCAGTTGATTGTTTATTACTGGGTTTTGTGACAACTATTAATTGTCATGTTGCGTGGTAGAAACCCACGACATACAGAATCAGTCCACAAGATCAGGTAGGAATTAAAAACAACAACAAACATGTGTTTACATGCAGCCAGTAACCCTTTTAAAACCCGAATATTCACAATAACCCGGTTCCGCAGGTCCATGTAAACACCGCCAGAAACCCGGTTACTACACCTGGGGTAACCCTTTTCTAACCCGAATGTTTGGTCGTGTAGACGCATATCGGGATATCCCCATCAAAGAGTGTGTTCTGCGCATGCTCTGTTCACAAGGAATCTTGGTCTTTTGAGTAGCGAGACGTCTTGTATGCGCCAGAACACCGGAAGTAAACAACAAGTTGGGAGCAACATGGCGAGTCGCGGCACAGCACCACACTTTGAGTGATGAGGAGACCTCTGTCTTCATCGGTCTGGTGAAAAGTATGAACATTGTGTCTTTTGTTGACGGCCGAAAGTACAGAGACAGCGAAATATGACGCATGTTGCGTCTGGACGTAGTCCATACGTCCTGACGCTACCCCAACGTCCGCATTTAAATCGGGTTCTGCAAGTTAGGGCTAACTCTTTCTATTTGTGCTTGTAAACGGGTTATTCTGATCAACTCAGAAACCCGAATACCGACCTTAACCCGATCATAACCCGGATATTGGCTGCATGTAAACGTAGTAAAACTACGTATTTATAAAACATAATATTTTATTAGAAAAAGGTTGAACTAACGGCACAGGGGGAAGTCCTGCTGGGTTCTCCAAAGCGGGGTACGGATACGGGCGGGGTGATCTAGAGACAAAAGGTGTTAGATCTGGTCCTTTGAGATCCTGATGGATAAAGGAGTTTAGGGACTTACGGTCAGGAAGAGGAGGAAGCTCGTGAGGGGAGGAGGTCCGGTCCGGGGTGCTTACATGAGACGAAATCCACGGGGGTAAACCTGTACACAAGGGCTGAGGGAGCTGAGCATTGATGGCGCTGAAGATCCAAGGAGCTGAGGGTGGGCAGTGGAGAGTGGGGAAGCCAGGGATGGACTGAGAGATGAAGTGGTGAGTGTCTGAGTCCAGGTCGGAGGCGTTCAGTTGTTGGTGTTGGTAGGAGTCTGCAAAAAGAGAGAGAGAGAGTGGGAATAAACAAACGTTCTGAAGGCTGAGCTGAAATTCTAAGTCTTAAACTAGTTATCTCGAAAACAGCGGCTGTGATGATCTGGTACCCAGGTTGAGCTAATCATCCAGCTAATGAAGACGTCTCTCAGTCGCTTAGATATCCCTGGCAGGCTGGTGATCTGCAGCTTGTCCCACTCCCTGACGCGCCCACCTGCAGGAAGAAAGGCTCAGAGCAGATTAGTGAGGAGAACCACCCCAGACCGTGACATTATTATGTCGCCAGGTGAACTAGACCAAACTCTTGCTTTGCAAAGTTTGGTCTAGGAACGCTCCACTGGAACCTCTGCAGCCCCCAGCAGCATCCTGGCTGGCCAATCACAGCTCTCTAGAGGAGTTTCAAACACATAGAGAGCTGTGATTGGTCCATAATGGTGGGCCAATCATAGCGCTCTATCTGCTTTGTGAACCAATCACAGTGCTTTATCTGCTTTGTGGGCCAATCAGGACCCTCTATTCGTCTTGTGGGCGTATGATGAAACAGGGTGGAACAAGATGGCGACAGCTCATTTGAAACGGCTTTTACATCCATGTTGGACTATTAGAACTTGGGCTTTGTTAGAATCAGGAGCAGACAGATGTATTTAAGTTCTTTATTTAGAAAAAAGGATGTCATTTTACCTTCTTCAATTGCGGACCGCCTCGTTTACCAACATCTGTCAATGAAGCGTTGCCAGACTAAATAATGCCAGGCTAATTATTATGTGGTTTCAGTCTGAATGTTGCTGAGAAGTTAGCTGTGAAATTAGCAATGAAAATTTTCACTGGCAGCAAGTCTATGAGCGAATTTTTATGAAAACTCTGATAAACAGACATTATAAACAAAGGTCATGTTTAAATTTCAGTCTTTGCTAACAGTCACAGAATACTAGAGGTTTTATATTCTGTCAGCACTCAGATCGGGAGCTTAAGTAAAGTTTTCCACATTTATTCCTAATTTTGTTTCAGTGTGGCAGAAATTATCCCCCTATTTGGGAAATTACAAATGGGGACTTTTTGCGTAGAACCATCTCTAACCTCTCCAGGCTTCGGGTTTCGGAGCTTCTCAGCTTATAGCCTGAGTGGGGGGTGGGTGGCCGCGGCCAGATCCAGCTTGCTTTCTTAAAGCGACAAAGCCCTGAAACGGCTTATTCTGGAAGGTATTGAAAATGCCAAAACCCATTTTTGTGAGTATCCTGCTTCTATTAACACATCAAACAGGAAAAACCCTTTTATCTGTTGTTTGTCAGTGTTTAGTTTTAGGAATTATGCGCTTAGAATAAACCCTGTAAAAAATTCCCCTGTTTGTGATGTCACAAATAGGGAAATTAGCATAAAACAACCTCCCACATGCAAGAATGACTACTCCAAGTCCCTCCTGGACATCAGTGCTTCTCATCTTGTAGCAGCCTATCAGGTGATGAGTGGGCGTGGCCAACTCCAGGTTGTTTTCTTAAAGTGGCAGCCCTGAATTGGCACATTTCAGAAGGTACTGAAAATGTCGAGATTAAAACTCATGAGATCTCTTTATGTTAGAGGAATCTAGTGCAACAAAATTGATAAACATATTTTTTATCAACCATATAACTATTGTAACGTTTAAAATGTTACAATATGTCTCCTTTGAAGGGATTTTAGGTGCAAGTGTAGTGTTTACAAATAGTTACTATCAACTTCTGTAGGATGGTTCTGAGCAGCCTCCGTTCAGAGAAATAGCTTTTACTTCCTGCAGGCCTGAGAGGGTCATCTACAGCAATGAGCTCTGGATCTGGTTCCATTTGGACCATCTTCCTGCAACAGGTTCGATAATGAATTATATTCTTTTTACTTTTACACAGAAACACACCTAAAATGGTGATTAAATCCCTTTTAAACATGACTGTTCAAAGCAGGCCAGCGTGCATGTTCCGGTCCCTCCACCGCTGCCACGTCTGAGTCTGTCTACTCCACAGTGAACTCTAAACAGAGTGAAGTGAAGTGTCAACAGGACTCGGCACAAGAACTGACAATTGGCAGACGCATTCCCCCCGATCCTCTAAATGTCAAAATACTGTCAAAGACTCTCGGATGTTTGTGGGTGCCCATTTTTGCTGCTTGCAACACATCCGCATTAGGAACAGGCCTCGACAGGTGTCACTGCAACAACAGTGTTTTTTACTGCTGTGACTGAAAACTGTGCTTTACAGGAGACCTATGGGGATATTTCAGAGCGACTGCTGCTGAGGGAAAGGCTGAAGTGCAAAAGTTTCGACTGGTATTTGAAGAACATCTACCCTGACTTACATGTCCCCGAGGACAGGGGAGGCTGGCACGGGGCTGTGAGTGTCACCAAGCACACAATGTATCTGACTGATCATTTCTCATGTGAGCAAAGGATTTAGATGTTTTTTATTTTTCACTTCAGTCAGAGTTGTTGTTTATATTTGCAGCTGTGTGTGACCTTTGCAGTCTGACCTGCCTGCAGGGAATTAAACCTAGAAAAGAGGCTCCTCACAAAAGTCGATGGGCTCTGTCAGCTCTTTATTGTTGATGGTAATTGTTGCTCTGTTTACAGATCCATAGCTCAGGGATTCAGTCAGAGTGCCTTGATTACAACGCTCCAGATCACAACCCCACAGATGCCCAGATTTCTCTGTTCGGCTGCCACGGCCAGGGAGGCAACCAGGTACGCATTTCTTTGGGTTCTTCTTTCCTCCTTTGTGTCTTTTGTGCTTTTTACCAATCAGAAGGTCGGTGCTTTAGCCTTTTTTTTGTTATGTAACACATTTAAAATGACACATGCCTTCTATGAGCCAACTCCCACTTTAGATGGTTTAGAAAACAGCACATAATCTGTCTCTGGGCGCTTATTTAAAACAAGAGTCAGGTAGAAGTCAGACTATGTCCATCTTCCATCTGTCTGGCATCTCTCATTACCCCGTTGGTGTGCTGTGTTGCTGAAAATCAGTGTTTCACTAGCTCCTCTGTGAAACAAAAACCAGCCTCCTGCTCCATCTTCCCTACCCCACATAAGAGCCAGGCTCCATTTGAAAGATGCATGAGCCTCACAGGCAGGGTGCACGGCGCAGCCTGGGTGAATAAGTCAGAAGCCAGAAGGAGCTGCCAGGATGGAGCCTTTTTGATGGAAATGACCATCGCCGGCCTCGATGAGCCTGAAAGATGCATGAGGTGTGAAGAGGAGGATGAAGATTGATTACCTGAGCCTCTGTTGCACAGGGAGCCCCGGGAGTGTTTTGTCCCATGAGGTCAGTTTGTTGAAACGACACCTGAGAGGAAGAGTTGGGTTTGTCTTCATGTCTCTTTGACTGAGAGGGCCAAGCCCTGCTCTTCACTGATGGGATCGCTTGACGGCACGCCATGTGACGCTGGCTTGGTGAGGACACGATGCCTCAGTAGATGAAAGTAAACACCTGTAGAGAAACCAAAGGAGGAAGTGGCTTTTTAAAAGTCTTTTTACGTGATAGTTGCGGTAGCCTGGCAACCCATCCTATATGGTTGAATCTATAGTCAGAACATGATCTCCAGCCCTCACTGGAGTGGCTCACAGCCGAGTGTAAAGCAGCTGGGATGAGAATCAGCTCCTCTAAATCAGAGACATTCATTTTGAGTCGGAAAAGGGTAGAAGGCCTTCTCCAGGTCAGGGATGAGGTCCTGCCCCACGTGGAGGAGTTTAAGTATCTCAGAGTCTTGTTCACGAGTGAGGGAAAGATGGAGCGGGAGATCGATAGGCGGATTGGTGCTGCGTCTGCAGCGATGCGGGCGTTGTACCGGTCTGTCGTGGTGAAGAGAGAGCTGAGCTGGAAGGCAAAGCTCTCGATTTACCGTCGATCTGCATTCCTACCCTCACCTGTGGTCATGAGCTTTGGGTAATGACTGAAAGCATGAGATCACGGAACAAGCGGCCGAAATGAGGATGCCTCCTGGACGCCTCACTGGTGAGGTTTTCCGGGAAAGTCCAACCAGGAGAAGACCTGAAGAAAGACCCGGGGCACGCTGGAGGGACCGTGTCTAAGACTGGTGCCCCCGTGACCCGTCCCCTGATAAGCGGAGGAAAGTGGATGGATGGATCTCGCCACAGCCCATAGACAGACCTTGGTCATGGGGTGGAATAAACAGTTGTCTTTCAAACTGTCTGCATGTAATTGGACAGTGCTAGGACCAATAAAAGGAACAATGTGATATTCAAAGCGACGGAAATCAGTCAGTGGGGCAGTCCACCATACACTGTCGAAGAAGAAGAAGCAAATACATACCTTTTCAAAATAAAGGCCTCAAGTTCCTCTGTCTTCTCATGCCTCAAAGAAAAGCTGAAATCAAAATCGTCCAAAGTTGATGCCAAAGACGCTTCAAATTAGCGCCATCCCTGGGACGACGCCATCTTAGTAGTTTTTCTCTGCTGCAGCTTTGCCCCAGATCCCTTCCAAATTCTCTCTACAATTGTAGAGCGCTGTGATCGGCCCAGCCTAAACTTAGCTGAACCAGTGCTAGACCTGCTGAGGCTACAGTGAAGCGTGGCTTCTGCTACGGTTGCTCTAGCTCTAGGCTACTACAGAGCTGCTGGTCTGTTTTTGAAACGAATGTCCATTTTGCACGTTGCAGTACTTTGAATACACGTCTCAGAAGGAGATCCGCTTCAATTCAGTGACGGAGCTGTGTGCTGAGGTACTGGAAGGACACACCTCCATCACCATGAGGCACTGCCCAGGTGACGCGGAGCTGAAGCCTCCCAGCATCCTCTGGGAGTTCAGACATGTGAGGCACACAACTCACTTCTACAAACCGCGAGTCTTTCTCAGAAATCTAACCCAAAATGTCTGCTGCCATCGTTTTCAGGACGGGACCATCTACCATCCTAACTCAGACATGTGCGTGACCTCCTACCGCACAGAAGAGGGTCGCACGGACGCCCAGATGGGACGCTGCAACCCGGATGACAGGAACCAGCAGTGGAAATTTGAGTGGTAGAAAGGAGGAAGCGGCGAGGAAAAACTACAAGGGACCTTCTTGTGATGTTGTGCACTAGTTACCGAAAAGATCTTCCTCACTACCAACGTCTGCACTCAATTCAAATGGGAATAAGAAACCAAAATGCCTTAAAAGACTGTTGTTCGCCCCATTAAGTGTCTTTATGCCCTCATGAATGAGTGCAATGTGAGGTTTTATCTGGTTCTTTCTAGAACATCAGCTCCTTTTTATCCATGTGCCTCTGCAATGAAAGACAAAAACAATATCCCGCACACCCGAGATGTCCTCGGTGGGGATTATGTGATATTCCTGCACAAAAAGTCCCTTCTAGAGCTGCAAAGTCACATTGCACTGCAAACTTTTATAAGAGATGACTGTTGCTCTTGCTCGTTTTTATGGTTTCAAATTTTAAAAAGAGGGTGAATGTTTGCTGCTGAAAGACGTTGTGCTCAGAATGTGAGGTCCGCAGCATCGTGCCTTCCTAACACGCCCCGTCATGCGAGGAGGCAAACACAGAGACGGCGCTGTGGTCTCACTGAACTGCTCCTCCATTCGATCCCTCGCCCGTGGTGCCAGTTTTGTGGCAGAGTGATGCCTGAACAAGTCTTGAAGAATTCATTAAGCTTTTGAACTAAGTGCGTTTTGCCCCAGAGAGCTCAGCGAGCTGACAGGAATGTTGTGATCTATTCTTACCTGCTGTGTAGGATTAAAATCACCCTCTAAACCCATCATTCACGTGGCCTGTGAAAACCTGACAGCCTAAAAACAAACACAACTAGAGTGTGTGTGCCTAACTGCAATGTGCCCGTGGGTGCCAAATTTATTTTGAGCCTGTGTGATCTGAACTTGAAACTGCATCAGAAACACTCCTGTGTTGTTTTTCAGCTTGTTTGTGTAAGTTTACACCTGGATTCAAACCTGCAACAGCTTTATTTACTCAATTCTGATTCTCACTGGGACATGTTTGCAGTCACAACCGCAGGAATGGATGCAGGTGGACTCCAGCTGTGTGTAAATCATGCTTGGGTTAAGGGACCAAAACTACTGATGATGATGGATGCCGTAAGAAATCGAGTTATTCAAAGAATAAAAACTACCCACAAATATCAGTGTTCATGTTTTTATTGTTAAAAGCAAACATCCAGGTAGTTTGTGCAGATGAATGTACTTTTTTTATTTTTATTCAGTCAAACTGTAAAAGCTGCTGTCCTTTCCGTCCCGCAGATCAGATCATTCATAGTCATGTATCGCCACCTACCGACAGCAGAGCACATTACACTGAGCTGATGCCTAAAAGGAGAAGAAATGTAAAAATCCTTTCAAATATTTTTTCCTGTTTTTGGCTAAAAAATAATACTAAAAATCACAACATACTTTTACTGTGTTTTCACAGTTTTTTGTCAAATTTTAATGAGCAAAAACCAAATAAATTATTACTTTTTTCATTAAAATGAAGAATGTTATATCGCTCAATCCAAACATCTAATCCAACAGTGCAACAAACTTTAAAAATCTGAGTAACATTCTTTATGCTAATTTAAATTTTGTGCTAAAATAACCCAAAATGTACCAAATCCACAGGAAACAAGTCAGTAGCAGGACGTGCTAAATGGAGCGCAGGTTGTTTTTAGATGGATGTAACCGAATGTTCCAGAGTTTCCAGTTTGGCAGACAGGCTGCGGGCAGATTAACAACAGGTATGTATCTCTTGAAACATAAAAAGAAAAAACAAGCAGAAGAAGATCATTTTCTTTTTTTTAAAGCAAGTAAAATATGAATCTTCTTGTTCTATAGCCATGACATCCTGCTGAAAGGAGAAAGCAGGATAAATATGCCAGCTGATGTGTTGATTGTAACTCAGGTGACCTATAGGCCACACCCACTGCACACACGCAAACAGGAGCTGAGAAGTAAGAATGTATGTCTGTGGAACACAGAGCAGGAATTCAACACTGACTGACCTTGATCTCTAGTCGGGAGGCTGGTGGCACGACATAAAAGAAAAAACAAACATTATTCTGCAGCTGAAGTCACTGCAGGAGCCCAGAGAGTTCACCTCTGATTTAAGAATTCTGCTCCATCTTGCAAAGAAGGAGAAGGATAAAAAAAACAACGTCTAGATCATCATCATTTATTTATTTATTTATTTCTAACATGCCAACAACATCACAATTAACAACAGGATATAAATCAATAATAAACCTCACAACATAAATCAATAATAAATTAAGTTGACATTGTAGGCATGTTCGAAAGGGAGTGGGCGGAAGCCACGCTTATTGAAGCCCACCCCCATTTTTCACTAATATTTCAACATTCAATATGTAGAAAAAACTCAAATTCAACAACCTTATGACCAAAGAAAATCATAATCATAACAACAATAATAATGGTAGTCTAGACAATTTAACAATCCTTGTCATTATCATTAATTATAGATTCCCATACACCTTTACTCGTATCATCGCCCATTCTCATGTGTAATGTATTTTAACCAAACTGTTCTTCTGTAGTGTGCTTTAAAAATCTGAATATTTTGACATTGTTTGTGATCAGTCTTTAAGTTATTCCATATTTTTATCCCACACACAGACACGCAGAAGCTTTTACGTGTTGTTCACACCAGTGGTAATTTAAATATTTTATTTCTCCTTAGGCTATGTGACTGCTCTTTAATTATAAATAGCTTTAGTAAATTATTTGGTGGAAGTTCATTAAATGCTTTGAAAAGAATTTGAACTGTTTGATATTTAATTATATCTTGTGATTTTAATCATTTTGATTGTAAAAAAAGTTGATTTGTGTGTTCCAAGAATCCAACCGTATACATATACCGGCTGCTGCAGCGCTCCGCCAATGACGATGGCGACCGTAGATCAAGGCAGATCAGGGAAGCGCAATTTCACACAAGCAGAAGTTGAGGTACCTGTGGGTGAGGTGGAGAAATGAAATAAAGTGCTTTTGCAAAACAAATAAGAGAAAATCCACGGAGTGGCACAGCGTTGCTGAAGCCGTCAATGTTGTGAGTTCTTCAGAGAGATCTGTGGCGGATATAAAATAGATGGTCCAATCAGGATTCGATCCCCAGACTCCCAGTTGAAAGTCACGCAAGCTAACCAGTCAGCCAAATGGAGATCTCCCCTGTACAAGTAGCCAGGGCGCATGATCAATCGGGTCTCACTGACAGGACACACACACCGTCACAGACGCATGATGTTCTGTCTCAATCTGTCCCCCTGCTGATATTCTGCATTCTGTATTCTGCGCTTCAGGCTGTGTGTGTGTGTGCTTGCGTGTGTGGGGGGTCTTGTTCTGTCAAAATGAAGCAGTACAAGTGATAGTGCTGCAGGATTTCATAACTTTACCCTTCTCAGCAGCAGCACTGCAGGTGCTCTCCATGTCCAAAATGTGTGTAAGCCAGGTCCTTAGTCAACTTAAAGTTGTGCACATTTTTCCGCTAAGTTTTCTTTCATAAATCCCAAAGTTTGTGTGGAAAGTTGCTTAGGCAGTTTTCCGACCCCGTTTTGTGCGAAAGCAAGCTTGATAAATGCGGCCCCTGAACCAGGATCTTGAAATGAACACTGAAGTTGACAGGCAGCCAGTGAAGCTGGAGGAGAAGCGGGGTGATGTGGGTGTGTTTGGAGGACTTTTGTTCAGCTGATTGTAATGAATATTACGTCATCAGAAATGACTTTTCACCTATACAACAAAGTAGAAAATGAGGTCAAACTTGATATGATTCACGCCCCTTAAAGCTTCCGGCCTGGTTGTGTGTCTACTCCACAAACATCGTTCCTCCCCGTTAAAACGATCAGAAGTTCCTTCATATTCAATTCAGTTAAATTCAATTCAATTCAATTCAATTCAAAAAGACTTTATTGACCCCAGAGGGAAATTCAGTTGTTTCAGTAAACACAATTCTGTGATCAGACATACATACATAGACATAGACATGTGACCAGAATTGGTGACTGTGGTCATTTGCAACACGAGTCGCGCTACCGTTATAGATCAAGAGGGTTTACATGAGGATAGAGTCAGGGGGAGGGAAAAAAGGCCCTTCAGAGTTACCTTCGACAGAGAGGGTAGCTTTGCTACGCAAAAAACTCCTCAGACAGAAATGCACACAGACTTCTGACGATACACAACATAAGTGTCCACTAGGTGACTCTCCTCACTTCAGTGCCTGCAGCCGCAAGAGCAGCGCTCATCACCTCCGTTTGGACAGGGGAGGGAGATAATGGGTTAGAGGGCCCATTGACCCCTAGATACGGTTCCATGGCCTTCACCGGTCACAGTCCCGCCCAAGCTGGGATAGGGAGAAAGAGTTTCCATAGCAATTGCAGCATTCCACATTTCTTCTGAGGGGGGAGTAATCACTTCAGCCTCACAGGCTCCAAGGGCACCAGATTCAGATAAGAATTGTTTTGGGGACAGACAGAGATAATTTCCTCTCTGCCTTAATGTTCTGTTGGTCTTCAACCCCTCCAGATCCAATAATGGCATAATGAATTTATTCCAATCCGTGCTGATCCGTCAACTCTCTCCTTGATCGAATCCACATTCTGTGCCAGAGTCTGAATCTCAGCCAAAGTTCCAAGCTTACGACTCATCTGGACAATGATATGAGTTTGTGAGTTCACAGCGCGATGCATTCCATCCCTGAGCTCCGGGATTGAGCCAATATTCCTCGAAAGCTCGTTAATTTTCCGGTAAGCCAGGTAACCGCTCAGGCCAAACAGCAGGAGTCCCGACACCAAAATGACGAATATCCAAACATCTTCAGAATCCTCTACAGACAGTTGAGAGAGGCAGATCAGGTTCCACTGTTTCCAGGAGTCCAGTGTTTTTTGTGTGTTTGCTGTCCAGAACAAATGTTTGCAGATTCATACGAATGTTTGAATTAATCCCTGAGTAAAGGGTTTAACAGATAACCTGAATTATTTAGATGAAAAGTAGAAAAAAACTTAATCAGTTTTGTTTTGTTTTACAGCAAACTAACAGAACCTCGTTCAGCCACGTTGACGTTGTGTTTGTGATGGACACCATCAGCTCCATCAGCCGTGACACATTACAACACAGCCACGGCTGACTTGTTGCCTTCTCTTGTCGTTCTCCTTGTAGCACTCACAACGTGGACACTCGATCAAACACTGCCACTCAAATTACCTGGCCTTTAATTATTAAACACATTAATTTGCTGAAACATACGTTTTTGTGTCAGACATCAGCTTCGCTGTCAACAGCTCTCTCTTTGGGTTCACAGGAGAGACTTTGCTTGATGTTTAAAACAAAAGGTGGAGGTATTTCTGAATGAACGAGCAGGTTTTTGGTTATTGCAGACGCACAGCATTTCTGATCTTAATCAGTTTTTGAACATTTAATTTGCAAAACTAGCTAGCTTCAAACATTTTTTCATGCCTCTTAACAACATTCTAACATAGTATAGCTATAAAGATATTGTGGAGATAAAAAAGAAGTGGTTCCCTCTCAATTGTCTGAAAACCTCAGCCAATCACACGGCTCGGTCCGAAACAACAATTGGACCATTCGGTTGACTGTCTCATCACACCACCACACTTCCACTCATTATGCGTTTGTGCATTTTGACACAAAACACGTTTAAAGAGGTTCTTCGCTCAATAATGTCAGAGAAGGAGAAACAACCAGCTGCTGCCACTTCGACTTTAGTGCAAACTATCAGAGTCCCAAAAAGAAACTCACCATTAAAAGCCATAGACAACAACCGATGTTTGGACCTAGAAAATGGTGACTGGTGTTTAGGGCTATCTTGTTTACTCTGCCGTTGTGGGTTCCGGTATCAGGCGGACGTGGCCTAGGGTCTAGGGATGATACCAGACGGGAGGGGGAGGGTTCCGTGGCACTGTTTGTGCTTAAAAGCTAGCTTGTTTTGCATATTTGCTATTGCAGCGTTAACCAATTGTTGAATTTTTATTTTGTGCACTGCTCAGTATTAAAAATAATTTAACCAAATGTAATCAAAGAAATCAATAAACTGACCAAGTATTAAATACAAAACAGGTAAATTAAAATTTATGTCAGTTGAAAATAATGTTTTAAAGCATTAATTAAGCAGATGTTTTTTCAGGGAGGAATAAAAATTTATATTTAAATAAAATTTGGCAACGTGACTGAGATGCCTACAGAAGTACCTGACGTTATGTTGATTCTGCTGACGAGGTATTCATACTATTGACTCTATGAGTTTGGGATCATGTTTATATCTGTTTCCTAACGTTCTGGACTGATCACCTTTAAAGGATCAATGACAAGTCTATTCACACATTTTTGAGAATAATAAGAAAAAAAACAATCATAATGATAACAACAGCTTCAACAATCATAAACTATTTTCAATTATTTACCATGACAATTGTGGTTAAATATATCCATTAAGAATGACTTTAAAATAACTTGATGTGATTTCTGGAGATAATCTTAAATCCTCAACCCCTCAGCGGTGGTCCAAGACCCACAATACAATCTCGACCAGCGGCGGCGCTCCGCACACGCACACCACGCAAAGCGCGTAGGGCACCACGCCGGCGGAGGGGCACCAAACGCAAGCTTATGAAAAAATAATATATATATGATGAAGACAGATTTCATTAGAAGATGTGCAAAGCAAGTTAACAGCATGTTTACAGAGAGAAAACAGTACAAAAAGGAAAGGAGATGGACCGTGTCCACTTTTCACTCTGTCCGGGACGTCCGGACTGGGGGTTCTTATTTTGATGAAAATGTCCAGCTGTTCATCCAGGAGCAGGGATCGAATTATGGGGGAGCTGGATATCCTACACATCCAGGGGAGCCGGAAAAAAGTTTTCTACCTATATGACATCATTTATGGACTCTTTTGAGCAGAGAGCACAGAGAGCGGCATCGCGCTGATCCGTTGTTGCGCAGCGATTCAGGCTGCTGCTTCCAGCGCATGGCCCATTCTCAAAGTGGCGCAACCAAAAAAATTATAATTAAAACACGATCGTTCATGTCCGCACATGTTCTCTACTTTCTGTCTTATTTGTGCCTGAAGCGCTCTGCTACTGCGGAGCTCATCACCTGTGCTGTGGTGATTTCACATCACTGACACAGCATCGAAACGCGCTCTCCGCTTTGCGGTCAGGAGATCCCTTTGATCTGCTCAGAAGTAACTGATGAGGTGAAAAACTAAGAATCCAGGCAGCAGTTTTTCTGGAGAGTTTAGAGGAGATGCAGGAAGATGAGAGACAGACAGGACAGGAAATAGTTTAATAAAAACAAGAAAACAAAACAAAGTGTTCAAAAGTAAAATGTAGGTAGATTTATCTCCACTACACGTTTTTACCTGTATAAAACAATAAGTTACACACATGTAATATTTATACATCTGATACAATTCAGATCACCTTCAACACTCAGTCACACACCCAGGGCCGTTTTAAGGCATTTTGGGGGCCAAGGCAAAATGACCCCCCCCCCCCCCCCCCCCCCACACACACACACACACACACACCACCACCACCACCACCCCAAAACTGGGCTCCCCAAGCCTCTGTGTAATTCATACCCTGTCCAGCAGTATCAGTGTTTATAAAAGCCCCTCAGACATTACTGACATGTTCTAATATATCAGATGAAAAACTAAATTATCAGACATGCTGTCTCATCTGCTTCTTTTATAAACTTGCAAAAAGTAACAAAACCATTTGAAAGCCACTATTTGTGGATTCTCTGAAAGTTTCCATGGAGTGTGTGACAACTTATTTTTTCATTGATCCTATCGTCTAATCTCACAGCTGAAACAAGCATCCTTAATTATCTGTGCACAGGAAGCTTACCGATGCTGTAGTAAAACAAAAGGTATAATAATTTATTATTAATACAATCTTGTTGCAGCACAAAAGCAGAAAAATGAGATTTTGCAATAAATATGCTAAATATTCACATATGAATTGTTTTAGAGCCCTTTTATTTGCAGAATCTGATATTAATTTAGTTCTTACAAAAAACGGGTCCCAACATGGTTTGTGTGGCGTTGCCATAGTGTGACGTCATAGGCACAGATCCCCTGTCCTCTTGTTTGGAAATGGAAATATGGTCACCCTATATTAAACAACCTGTCCACCCGGGCTTTTGCGCTGCACAGAGACGCTTCGCTGCCTATGACTTTGAAAGTCAGTTGAGAGTCAGTCTCATGCAGACTGACCAATGAAGAGAGGGCCTCAAGTTAAGACCCTCTCCTCATTGGTCAGTCCACACGAGGTGGGTCAAAGGTTACCCTGAGCGGGTTACGTGAGATCAGGCATTCAAGTATTGAGTATATTTACTGCATATTACATTAAAATATTCTGTATGTGACCACATTATGGTGATCCTTGGGTCGTGATGATGGGGCCCTTTAATATTGTTGCCCAGGGTACAACAAAGTGTTAATCTGGTCCTGCCTACCGGGCGTTCATTAGTAGCTGAGTGAGAGAGGCTGAGAGGGAGAGAAACTCAGAGAAGCTTTAGAGTTTTTTTACTGCTGGAGAAAAAACGTAGCAAGTCATCATCTTCCTAAATGCAGTTATTCTCTTCTGAATCAGCACTTCTTTAAAGAAGAAATAGTTAAATGCAACAAAGGGAAATTTCCTTTTATTCAGCCTGTTCAAAAAAATAAGTCTGAACAGTGTTAAAGGTTGTTCATCTAAAAATAAACCTTGAAGAGTTTGAAGATTTTTTTGTTTTAATAAGTTCATCTTAAAACATCTTTCTCGAGTAAAATAAAGTTTCCTCTGTGAGGTCAGATAGGCCCATCTGTGCTGTTTTGAAACAGAAACAAACAAATTAATCATATTTGTCCACCCAAATACTTGATAAATATCACAAAAACAGGAAGGACAAAGACATCGTCAAGGTAAAGTAAGAAATTTTCAAAAAAATAAGCGGCTGTTTGTGATTAATCATGAGTTAACTATGGACATGATTTATATAATTATTAAGTAGCCTATGTGGCCTATAGGCTATGTAATTAAGATTTAATATGAAAAATTAGACTAACATATTTTCAAATTAGGTATTTGCTCTATGTTGATATATATTTCATAAACATTTTTGGGCCAAGAGGAACATCAGCTGCTGATGGTATAGTTTGAAGAAAAAAGTCCGTTATGCTAACCTCCTCCCTTCATATTCAGAATTTTCTAGTTGTGTATAAAATTTGTATATTGTGCCTCTCTAGTTCTTAATAAAGGTTAAATAGTTTTGAATTTAGTCATGTCACATGCCAGTGATTGTGTTGTTTATTCTCTCTGTGTGTGTGTGTGTGTGTGTGTGTGGGGGGGGGGGGGGGGGGGGGGGGTCCACGAAGACTTTGTGTTTAGGGCACCAAAATAGCTAGCAACGGCCCTGATCTCGACCCACCGTTTGGAAACCCCAAATCTAAATTTTGTAGCACCAAAATACCGATCTGTATCTAAGTCTAATATCTGAAGGGTACTGAAAAGCAAAGCCATATCCATGGTCATATCTAACTTTCAAAACACTGACAAAGATTTGCTTGTTTTCCTTTTGCAAAATTACAGTGCTGCGACGCACTTCGTCTTTCAAAATAAGATCAAGAAATTTGTTTTTGTTACATTTTGTCTTATAAACTAAAGCCGTCAGTGATTTAATAAACCTAATTAGTGATATAAAAGTAGAAAGAAATGTATAAATGACACTACTCAATTTTCTGTATTTATTCAGACAGTGAAACACAAACCTTTAGATTTTATTTTGGTATCCGAAACAGGAAACGACGATAACTAGTGTCGAACATAAATTTTGCAACAAAGTAAAAGTTTTCATACATGAAACGCTACACTCAAAGTTGCGTTTTGACGCGGCTACTTCCGTGTATGTTAGTAAACCTAGCTTTAATTTAGTTGACAAAAACTGAACAAACAGGTTCTGGAATTTTTAATTTCCGTAGATTTGCTAAATAGACATTAGCAGCTCGTCTAATCCCAGTTCGTTAATCCCGTCACACTTGGACACGGTTGGAGTTCGTCCAGGAGGAGGAGGAGTGTTTTACACTGTCGCCCGTGAAGTTACACACTTCGAGGACTCTGCGGCCGCACGCGCGTCGTAAACGCACACCGAGGATTTATTGCATTTTTACCAGGAAGTATGCGAGATCAACCTGACGCATTCAAGCGGAAACATGGAGAAGTTGGAGTGCACCAACTAGTCTCTTGGCCTGCATAATGACACCCAAGTCCGGGCGTTTAAGGGCATGAAAACTCGACCAAAGTTTGGCCAAAACCGCAAGGGAGCGACACGATGGCAGTGTGCGGGAGAAGGAATCGACCCAAGCTGCTTGTTCTGTTAGGAGTGACTTTATTCGGGTATTTAATATTCTTCAGACGCCACCCCGGGGAAGCTGGTGCTACAAACCGACGTGAAGAAACCCCCAGGAGGCGAGAAGTAGACAACGAAGAGCTGAAGAAGCCCGTCTACGAGAAGCCTCCCCTGGATACGTATGCCCTGGGAGAAATGGGCAGAGCCGTGAAGCTGAATCTGAACGAAGAGGAGAAGAAGAAAGAGCAGGAAAGTATCGATAGACACCAGATCAACGTTTATGTCAGCGACAAAGTGTCACTGCACCGCAGACTGCCCGAGAAATGGAATCCTCTGTGAGTAACTGGACGTCCAACACTCTAAAATACACTTTTTTTTGCTCATTGTGGGAAGTGTAGAGAGTTTGTGCAGTTTGGATTCTCCAGCAAAGTTTGTGTTTGTGTGCCTCTTGATAAGGAAGAAATAGTATTTATTTTTTGTAGACATAGAAATTTTATTCTGCATTTGAAATGTTTTACACCAGCTAAATATCCATCCGTAAACATGCAACAGCAGAATTTTATTGTGAAAAACCCAAAAGCAGATTTCAGCGTAAAAGTTTCATCAGCAAATATTCAACAACTGAATTTTATTGTGAAAAAACCCAAAAGCAGATTTCAACGTAAACGTTTCATCAACAAATATTCAACAACTGAATTTTATTGTGAAAAAACCCAAAAGCAGATTTCAACGTAAACGTTTCATCAACAAATATTCAACATCTGAATTTTATTGTGAAAAACCCAAAAGCAGATTTCAACTTAAAAGTTGCATCAGCAAATATTCAACAACTGAATTTTATTGTGAAAAACCCAAAAGCAGATTTCAACGTAAAAGTTGCGTCAGCAAATATTCAACAACTGAATTTTATTGTGGAAAACCCCAAAAGCAGATTTCAGCGTAAAAGTTTCATCAGCAAATATTCAACAACTGAATTTTATTGTGGAAAAACCCAAAAGCAGATTTCAACGTAAAAGTTTCATCAACAAATATTCAACAACTGAATTTTATTGTGGAAAAACCCAAAAGCAGATTTCAACGTAAAAGTTTCATCAACAAATATTCAACAACTGAATTTTATTGTGAAAAACCCAAAAGCAGATTTCAACGTAAAAGTTTCATCAGCAAATATTCAACAACTGAATTATATTGTGGAAAAACCCAAAAGCAGATTTCAACGTAAAAGTTTCATCAACAAATATTCAACAACTGAATTTTATTGTGAAAAAACCAAAAGCAGATTTCAGCGTAAAAGTTTCATCAGCAAATATTCAACAACTGAATTTTATTGTGAAAAACCCAAAAGCAGATTTCAACGTAAAAGTTTCATCAGCAAATATTCAACAACTGAATTTTATTGTGGAAAAACCCAAAAGCAGATTTCAGCGTAAAAGTTTCATCAACAAATATTCAACAACTGAATTTTATTGTGAAAAAACCAAAAGCAGATTTCAGCGTAAAAGTTTCATTAGCAAATATTCAACAACTGAATTTTATTGTGAAAAACCCAAAAGCAGATTTCAACGTAAAAGTTTCATCGGCAAATATTCAACAACTGAATTTTACTGTGAAAAACCCAAAAGCAGATTTCAACGTAAAAGTTTCATCAGCAAATATTCAACAACTGAATTTTATTGTGAAAAACCCAAAAGCAGATTTCAACGTAAAAGTTTCATCAGCAAATATTCAACAACTGAATTTTATTGTGGAAAAACCCAAAAGCAGATTTCAACGTAAAAGTTTCATCAACAAATATTCAACAACTGAATTTTATTGTGAAAAACCCAAAAGCAGATTTCAACGTAAACGTTTCATCAGCAAATATTCAACAACTGAATTATATTGTGGAAAAACCCAAAAGCAGATTTCAACGTAAAAGTTTCATCAACAAATATTCAACAACTGAATTTTATTGTGAAAAACCCAAAAGCAGATTTCAGCGTAAAAGTTTCATCAGCAAATATTCAACAACTGAATTTTATTGTGAAAAACCCAAAAGCAGATTTCAACTTAAAAGTTGCATCAGCAAATATTCAACAACTGAATTTTATTGTGAAAAACCCAAAAGCAGATTTCAACGTAAAAGTTGCGTCAGCAAATATTCAACAACTGAATTTTATTGTGGAAAACCCCAAAAGCAGATTTCAGCGTAAAAGTTTCATCAGCAAATATTCAACAACTGAATTTTATTGTGGAAAAACCCAAAAGCAGATTTCAACGTAAAAGTTTCATCAACAAATATTCAACAACTGAATGTTATTGTGGAAAAACCCAAAAGCAGATTTCAACGTAAAAGTTTCATCAACAAATATTCAACAACTGAATTTTATTGTGAAAAACCCAAAAGCAGATTTCAACGTAAAAGTTTCATCAGCAAATATTCAACAACTGAATTTTATTGTGGAAAAACCCAAAAGCAGATTTCAACGTAAAAGTTTCATCAACAAATATTCAACAACTGAATTTTATTGTGAAAAAACCAAAAGCAGATTTCAGCGTAAAAGTTTCATCAGCAAATATTCAACAACTGAATTTTATTGTGAAAAACCCAAAAGCAGATTTCAACGTAAAAGTTTCATCGGCAAATATTCAACAACTGAATTTTATTGTGGAAAACCCCAAAAGCAGATTTCAACGTAAAAGTTTCATCAGCAAATATTCAACGACTGAATTTTATTGTGAAAAACCCAAAAGCAGATTTCAACGTAAAAGTTACATCAGCAAATATTCAACAACTGAATTTTATTGTGAAAAACCCAAAAGCAGATTTCAACGTAAAAGTTACATCAGCAAATATTCAACAACTGAATTTTATTGTGAAAAACCCAAAAGCAGATTTCAACGTAAAAGTTTCATCAGCAAATATTCAACAACTGAATTTTATTGTGAAAAACCCAAAAGCAGATTTCAACGTAAAAGTTTCATCAGCAAATATTCAACAACTGAATTTTATTGTGAAAAACCCAAAAGCAGATTTCAACGTAAAAGTTTCATCAGCAAATATTCAACAACTGAATTTTATTGTGAAAAACCCAAAAGCAGATTTCAACGTAAAAGTTACATCAGCAAATATTCAACAACTGAATTTTATTGTGAAAAACCCAAAAGCAGATTTCAACGTAAAAGTTTCATCAACAAATATTCAACAACTGAATTTTATTGTGGAAAAACCCAAAAGCAGATTTCAACGTAAAAGTTTCATCAACAAATATTCAACAACTGAATTTTATTGTGAAAAACCCAAAAGCAGATTTCAACGTAAAAGTTTCATCAGCAAATATTCAACAACTGAATTTTATTGTGGAAAAACCCAAAAGCAGATTTCAACGTAAAAGTTTCATCAACAAATATTCAACAACTGAATTTTATTGTGAAAAAACCAAAAGCAGATTTCAGCGTAAAAGTTTCATTAGCAAATATTCAACAACTGAATTTTATTGTGAAAAACCCAAAAGCAGATTTCAACGTAAAAGTTTCATCGGCAAATATTCAACAACTGAATTTTATTGTGGAAAACCCCAAAAGCAGATTTCAACGTAAAAGTTTCATCAGCAAATATTCAACGACTGAATTTTATTGTGAAAAACCCAAAAGCAGATTTCAACGTAAAAGTTACATCAGCAAATATTCAACAACTGAATTTTATTGTGAAAAACCCAAAAGCAGATTTCAACGTAAAAGTTACATCAGCAAATATTCAACAACTGAATTTTATTGTGAAAAACCCAAAAGCAGATTTCAACGTAAAAGTTTCATCAGCAAATATTCAACAACTGAATTTTATTGTGAAAAACCCAAAAGCAGATTTCAACGTAAAAGTTTCATCAGCAAATATTCAACAACTGAATTTTATTGTGAAAAACCCAAAAGCAGATTTCAACGTAAAAGTTACATCAGCAAATATTCAACAACTGAATTTCAAGCACAAACAAGGTGACCTTTGTGACCCAAGCCAAACTAGTCGAGCTCGTCTTTGATTCAAACTCGATCAGTCAACTGGTGTCACGTGATCAGGGAAGCGTGACTTGATGATCTAAAAGCTGCTGGGTTCATCAGTGATGGTTTCTTTGGTTTGGGTCACCAGCAGCTTCTCCTCGTTGTTTTAGAAATTTTGCTGTTGATTTATTTTTTGATGAGGAAAATTTAATGTTGAAATTCTTTTATTGAATTTTTACAGATGAAGTATTTGCTGGTGTACTTCAAGTAAACAATAGCCCTATACAAATTTTCACAGAAAAATAATTTAAAGTCTAACAAATGTCACATTTTGGTGACACTGTATTTCTTCCATATTATTACAGCCGTGCCATAACTAGGAAAGTAGGTGAACACCCTCAAGATTGAACTTATTATAACCTAATGGTACCCTAACAACTTGTTTCATTCCAGATGCAGAGATCTCAAGTACGACTACAAGTCCTTGCCGACAACATCTGTGGTGATTGCTTTCTACAACGAGGCCTGGTCCACCCTGCTGAGGACCGTCCACAGTGTGCTAGAGACTTCCCCTGACATCCTTCTCAAAGAGGTGGTGCTGGTGGATGACTACAGTGACAGAGGTGAGACTCCACATTCGAGTTAGACGGACTGATGGACAGGCGGGAGAGGCTGTGGGTGGGAACGCTGGCTGACTCGACAGTTATGAAAGACAGAAAGCTTGTTATAGGTGCTCACTTGGACAGGTTGCTGTCATTGAGTTTGTCAGATAGCGTGAGTGCAGGGAAGTGAAAGAAGAATCGGAAAGGAAAATCTTATTCTGTTGATGTACACATTTAAATCTGTTCAAATTCGAGGTTACTTACCACACCATGTTTATTTATATAGCACGTTTAAAAACAGCATGACAGCTGACCAAAGTGCTGCACAGTAAAAAGGACAAACGTGTTAATGCTTTTCAAAAATAGATTTAATCCTTTCTTTCCTGTTGGAATCGTGCAGAGACTCTGTCAGGTGGTGGTTGTCAAACGTAATGGATCTTGAACCTTCCCTACCCTTTGTTCTCATCAACCACAGAACAAACGTCCATTAAAGCAGAAATCTGGAGTTTTTTTTTAGATGGCACCATCTAGAGGCAGGAAGTTTGGTTGCACCCTGGTTGCACCTTAAGCTCCTTTCTCTACATCCACGTTTATGCCTGGAAGCAACACCCCTCATTGGTGAACACGCCTCTCTAGCCATCCAACAGAGCTAAAACCATTGGCAGTTCTGGGGCGGAGCCAAAAGGGCATTAGTCCCTGCTGAATTTTGATTGGCCCTTTGAAGTGCCCCTATCCTGTCACTTCCCGGTTCTCCGCACGATGTCCCAATCCCAATACTCGCACTGTGCCCTGCATCCTTCTGTGAAGTGCACTTAGGGGAGGTAAAGCTTTAAGTACAAGCTAACTAAACCAGCTAAAAAATGGAAAAATAAAACGTATTATATCACAGTGCAGGGTCAAACTATTACTTCTACGGATTAAAATAATAATAATAATAATCACACAAAATTCCTGAACTGGGAAAAACTCCAGATTTCTGCTTTAATAAATTATAAATAAGATCCAGTTTTGTAGAATGATCTGTATTTTGACCAAAACCGGCTTGTAGAGCGTTTGCTTTAATTTGAAAAGATGGTTACTTTTCTTTTTTCCACTCTGAAGATCATTTGAAGGAGCCGTTGGAGAAATACATTTCAAGTTTGAGGAAGGTGCGTCTGGTCCGAGCCACAAAGCGGGAGGGCCTGGTGCGGGCTCGGCTGCTCGGGGCTTCGATCGCCACGGGCGATGTGCTGACGTTTTTGGACTGTCACTGCGAGTGCCACGATGGTTGGTTAGAGCCTCTGCTCCACAGGTGAGAAGGAAATAAACATACCACACCTGTACCTGTACCAGCAGCTGCAGCTCTGCTGTCTCTGACGGAGATGCTAGCTCAACAATCGGCTGCAGCTAATGCGATGCAAAAACCTTCAAATTAGGATTCTTCTTTTTAAAAAATAGTTTTTCTTTGTCTCCACAAGGATCAAAGAGGAGCCGACGGCTGTGGTGTGTCCCGTCATCGACGTGATCGACTGGGACACTTTCCAGTATCTGGGTAACTCCGGCGAACCTCAGATCGGCGGTTTTGACTGGCGGCTGGTCTTTACTTGGCACGCTGTTCCAGATTACGAGCAGAAACGTAGAAGCTCGCCCACCGACGTCATCAGGTCTCCTCACTGCACCTTTAGTGACACGAGTACTTGCCCACACCTCACATGCTGAGTTTGGTGACAGCATTTCTCTCCCTCTAGGTCTCCCACTATGGCAGGAGGTCTATTTTCCGTGGGAAAGGACTACTTCCATTACCTGGGGACTTATGACACGGGCATGGAGGTGTGGGGAGGAGAAAACCTGGAGTTCTCCTTCAGGGTAGGAAACCATTTACTTGTGTTTATGTACACATACTGAATACTGCATGTGTTTACAAAAAGCTGCTAGCTTGATGTAAATCTAAATAATCTGCACACTGATTTTAGCAGTAAGACATTTTGTTTTGGTTTAAATTTCCCTGCAAACCACAATGCATGAATTATAGCTGCGGCGCTAGTTAACAACACGTTGATTGCACTGAAGAATTCGAACCGCCCTCTCCACGAGGGGTTTCAGTCTCCCCAAAGGGATGAAAGCAAAAATCTGTTTCTGTAACGAAAGCCGTTTTTCTGTGCTCTATGCGGCCTGATCGAATCAGCGGCCACAAGTGAACCAAATCCTCGTGTTCTGGTTGATGGCTTTTCAGATTTGGCAATGCGGAGGCAGCTTGGAGATCCACCCGTGCTCCCACGTGGGACACGTGTTCCCTAAAAAGGCCCCTTACTCACGAAGCAAAGCGCTGGCAAACAGCGTGAGGGCAGCAGAGGTCTGGATGGATGAATACAAGGAGATCTTCTACCACCGCAGCCCCCACGCACGACTGGTGAGTCTCCACAGATGGCGAGAGGAAGCTGGAGGGGAGTTGGACACCAGCAAAGTGACTGTTTGAGCGGGCATCGAGGCGTGTTTGGACAGCGAGGGTTTACTTGTGAAAGATTGCAAAAGCGACATGTTTATCCCAGCTGCACTCCGGTTGATTGATGATTTCACCAGCAGACTAACTCTTTGTGCATTTCCCACAGGGCTGCTCGATTATGGCAAAAGTAATAATCACAATTATGGTGACTGAAATTGAGATCTCGATTATTTAGGACGATTTTTCAATTTATGTTGATTTTATTTGTTTTTATTCAGTCATAAAATTGCTCAGGGCACAATCAGGACAAAAATAAAAAACAAGATGATCACTAAAATAACTCCTGATTCCCAGTATAAAAAGACCAATATACTTATAGCTCATAGTCTATGACCCAAGGGCTATAGACCTTGGTTTAACTCATGTAAGTCTAACCAGTGCAGACCCAAATACCAATATCTTGCAAATACTGACAACAAGAATTATACAGTGGCATTTATAACAAATAAATTGCTGTTCACTAAATGTTGCATAACATTTATTGAGTCGTGTCAAGGTGCTGTAGGAGAGTGCGCTAGCACCGTGTCCTCAGAGAGATTAGTTATTATTTATCAGCGTGAGGAACTTATTTCTACCTTATTTATAAACTATTTATTTACAAGTCCATCAGTTAATGTAATAATTGTCCCAACCACAGCTGCACCCCCCCCCCCCCCCCCCCCCCCCCCCAACCCGGTCTAAGCAATCGGGCAAGCTGCACGTGTGTTTAGCGCGCCGCACGCGCACATTTAGCCGTTTTTAGTGGCTCAGGAGTCCGCAGGTACGGTGTGTGTCACTCACTCTGGTTACTCCAACAGGGAGCCGGCTCCGAGAGCCGTTTCTTTAGCGACTGACACATCACTACATCATTCCCTTTCCTAATGTCCTGAAGAACGGTCCGGAGCGCAGGCGGAGTGTTTAGCTAACCTGCAGGAAATGTCGACGACAGTTATCCAGAAAGTAGCTAAGGGTTACCAGAGATGTTTCTGAGGTGTTCGCTAGGTACTTTTAAGATTTAAAAAGTCAAGAAGGGGGTCTGAAAAGCTGCTAGAAATAGCGTCAAAGTCGCCAAGTTGGCAACACTGTGGGAGGAGCGCTTCATTTGCAACTCAGGGCAGCGCAAGTGGGAGGAGCAAATAATCAGCTTGTTTTGTTTTTATAATCGTTCAAAACTCAGATCGTAATCGTGATTAAAATTCGATTAATTGAGCAGCCCTAACACACACACACACACACACACACACACACACACACACACACACACACACACACACAGCACTGCGGTGTAAAAGGCTCCCCTGATGAAGTGACTTTTGGGATACATGAGCAGCAGACACTGGAGGTGATGGGGATGACTGTGCACACTGGTGTGTGATTACCACCTTTCCGTGCCAGCAGGCGACACCCACCTCTCCTAGACAGGGTGAGATCAGTGCTGACCCATAGGGTTCCCTGCCTTCCCTTCGTGTGCGCTTGCATTGGTGTGTGTGTGTGTGTGTGTGTGTGTGTGTGTGTGTGTGTGTGTGTGTGTGTGTGTGTGTGTGTGTGTGTGTGTGTGTGTGTGTGTGTGTGTGTGACAGCATACTTAGTGCAGATGCTCTCTAAGCACAGATCAGGTGGCGCTCTTCTTCCTGACAGGAGGAAGCTTTGCCAAAAGGTGAAGGATCATGGCCCAAAACAAGCTCTGCTGCTCCTATTCATTAAATGTTATATGTTGATTTACATTAATGACCTTACAGCCTTTTGCATTTGTACAAGTTTCATTATGTTCCTTCTAATTGTATTAGTTTGCGTGTTTGGATGACACCTTACAACTACAGCACCAAAGTTCAGTTTAAAGGTGCAATCAGTTCTGGAAAAAGCCGTTCAAGCTGCTCTTTAGTAGAAAAAACAAACAAAGCAAACAATTCCAAGGTTCACCCCCGAAATAAAACAATCACAGAATCTAATGGCGGCAGAAAATGGTTTAACACCAACTGTAATGGACGCTGGATGATGATTAAACATTTAGCTTATCGATACATGTGTGGTGGGATAGAAATAAAATGGGTCGATACAGATTTTCAATTTAAAAACTTTAAAAAATAACATTATTTTACAATTTGGACCAGTTGTTTGCAACCTTTTGGCCATAATTCCTAATATAACACATATATAACAGCTGTGGAGCCTCCAGATTAATGAAGCACTCCTCAGTATTTGGCGCCGGTCAGGAGTTCTCCGGACTCTTTCTCCACGGAACGTTAAAGAGATAGAAGCCACGGGGACCTGGATCGAATATCCAGTGAGGAGGACCTGGCTTATTACACCGGAAACCCCCTCCGCTACTTCTGCTCAGGCTACGAAACAAGTTAGTATGCTAGCTAAAAAAGCTAGCCCAGCTCTGGCTTCACTTCCTGTTCAGCTGCTCCAAGCCAAGATGGCGGGAGCCGCTGAACAAATAGGGGTTTGTTCAGGAGTGGGAGGGGCGTTTGATAGATGGCTCAGGATCCAATCATTAAGAGTGAGACGTTCATAACGATTGGACGAGGTTTTTCCAGGATCGTACATTTAAAAAACGATTAAAATTATTACTTGTTTTGACAAAACGTTTAATATATTGGCTGCCATCGGTATGTGAGGAGCATTTCAGGTGGTGTGGGAAAAAAATGGCCCAGAAAACATAATCAGCTCCACCTTCAATAGACTTCATGTTCACCACAGATTTTATTATATGAAGACGGCAAAGGTTCAAACTGAGATTATGTCCAGAGATTAGGGTCTGGTTGCAGGTGCCGAACCTGTAACAAGACCTGTGCTTCTTTACAGGTTTTTGCATTTCATTCACTCGTGACTCACGAAGACTCAAACACCTAATTACCCCAGACCTGCTAGTGCTACTGTGGAGCTTTGTTCCTGGTCAGTTTGACCTGACACATGGTAGCGCCCTGCTAAACTTCACCGGCCCATGTTGTCTCTCGTTCTTTCTGGTAATGGCAATTAATGACCATAGAAACCCACGAAGAGCCTGTTAGAGCCATGTTTGGGCTGGCGGCCATCACCCATCACCCTGCTGTGAAGGCGTGGTGAGCGTATGCAGGCAGTGGCAAACCGTGTGCTCGCCAGTATTTGCATTAGAACTTTATTGGTTGCTTGCAAACATTAAAACTTACTCAAATACCTCCTGTTGTTGCTCAACTAGAATTTAGGAGTGTTTCAGGGTGTGTTGTGGATAATTATGACACAGGTGTCCTGTTATACACCCTGATAATAACTGCGCTATTACACGAACACACCCCTGCCACCGCAGCATTGTCTGAAGGTTGTTTCTCAATCATGACTCACCTTTTGTGCGTTTCTTTTTAAGGAGGCGTTTGGAGACGTGACGGAGCGGAAGATGCTCAAACAGAGGCTCGGATGCAAGAACTTCAAATGGTACCTGGATAATATTTACCCAGACATCTTTATCCCACAGGATCAGCCTGGAATGTTTGGAATGGTGAGAACAGTCCAGAGATGGCTCGGTGTGTGTGATCGTGTTTTAGGTGAAGCTTAAATGTGCTACTGATGTTTTCTAGCTGAAGAACCGGGGGAAAACCAACTACTGCTTCGACTATAATCCCATAGATGAGAATGCAATCGTGGGCCAAAGGGTCATCCTCTATCCGTGCCACGGCATGGGTCAGAACCAGGTAGGCCCTGTCAGGTGGCTTCATTCTAAATAAATCAGCACGTTTTGGCTTGCTGGACGTCAGAGTCATGAAACATCATGGATTAGTAGAGACTAGATGAGTTTAAATCATTCATAAAACAACAAGGCTGTCCCCAACTCTAAGAACATAAATCAAATGCAAGTCTGGGGAGATCCTGATGACCTTTACATTCTAGCTTCTTAGATATAAAGATTATTTCATAAATCCACTCATCAGTGTTCATCTTAAATCAAACCTGTCCTCATCCTCCTCCTGGTACTGGAGAAGCACCAGCCTCACTGCTGTTATCTTGTCCTTGCCTGTTGGGAGTTGTGGCTGATTCCTGACAAACCTGGATAATGGAGCCGGGAACCAATCCCAGTTTGCTAAAGATGCCGGTAGTGTTGACCTAGAGAGGCGGCGTCGTTTCACAACTGTTTCATCCGTGAATGTCAGCAAAACAGGGAGCTCAGCGGAATTTAGATCCGGATCTCCTCCGTGGCTGAGCTGTCTGACGCACACGCACACACACACGCACACGCGCGCGCACACACTCACACTGCTGTACTTGTGGGGTCCTGTCATTAACTTCATTTCAGTGACTGCTGTATCCCTAACATAACAGAAATAATGTACACACACTGAGAAGTCTTTATATTCTATTAATTTAAACAAGCTGAACCCATTTTCATCATCATCATCACCTTTATTTATAAAAGTACTTTACACACATGTATCATGTCACCAAGGTGCTGAGCAAGACTAAACTAAAAAAAAGATGAAAACAAAGAATATATAGGAAACAAATAAAAAAAAATAAAAAAACCAGCAAAATACAAAACAACATCAGTTAACACACAGATTTAAAAGCCAGATTATAATAACGGGTCTTCAGCACCTTCTTAAAAACCTCTACTGACGTGGAGAGTCGCACATCATTCCATAATTTTGGGCCTGCTACCGAAAAAGCCCCGTCTCCTCTTGTTTTGAGCCTAGTTGCGGGGACTAGAAGCATATGGTGACTCTCTGAGCGGAGCGAACGACTAGGTATATATGGCCGTAGCAAGTCAGATAAATATTCTGGTGCCATCCCGTTCAATGCCTTAAAAACCAATAAAATAATTTTAAAACGCACTCTAAAAGCGACCGGTAACCAGTGCAGATCTGCCAGGACGGGTGTCACATGATCATATTTCCCTTTCCCTTTTAGGAATCTTGGATGCATTCTGATAAAAAATATCATGACTTTTCAAGTTGAGGGACAAAATCATCATGTTAAAAGTCCTCGTGGGCTCAAATGTGAATTTAGTTTGTTTAAAAAAAATGCAAAAAATTATTACATGGTTCTTTCGTTCTTTTTAAATAGGTCCGAAAAGGCTTAGTAGTAAAAATCCCAAAATAAAAAATGAGAAAGTATCACTACATCATCAGGCTGCTCTAGAAACTTTGAGAATCCATCACATGAGCATATAAACTCACGAAGAGCCTGCTGGAGCTCTAGGAGGGCCACACAGAGGTGGAAAGAGTACTAAAATTTCCTTTTTAAGTACGAGTACCAATACTTTGATAATTTTTCACTCAAGTACAAGTAAAAGTACTTTCCTAAATTTTTACTCAAGTAAAAGTAAAAAGTATCATAAATAAAATGTACTCAAAGTAAAAGTTACTTAGTTACATTTTTGTCAGCGTAAGGATGGCTACATCTAAGTAGTGAAAAATCACAACGCCAGTTCACAATACACTCGTGTGCATGCGTGACACGCGCGCGCACACACACACACACACACACACACACACACGGGCACGCACACACACACACACACACACACACACGTCATGACTAATTTAACTACACTGAACTGCTTTTGTAATAATTTAATCTCTTATTCTGGAGTAAAATAAAGAAACAAGCTAAATCATCACATATCTGTGGCATCAAGAAGCATCTTCTGAGTTCAAACACAGGGATGGAGCACAATGTTTACACCTGAACAGTATCAGGATGTTTTAACTCACAGAGGCCTGCAGGTCTTCTGTTTTATGAGCAAAGCGCTGAGAATCCGCTTGTTAGGAGCGCTAAACATTATTTTGTTGCATCCGTGCAGAGCGGTAGGGAAACACATTTCTAACACAGAACCGAGTCCGGTTACCGAACCGAGCAGAATTCTGATGACGTCACACCGGTGCGCAAAGGTGCGGGTTCCAACCCACAGGAGAGGAGGGAGAGAGGAGGTAAACAGCGAGTGGATCACAGGGACTGAACTGATGTTTTTGAGCAAAGCTGCGGTAAAAATTTGTTTGTCCTCATTATCAAGTGCACGTCCACACCCCCCCATGGTGACGCGGCGCTCATGCAGGTGCATCTTCCTGTTCCGACGCTGCTACACGCAATATTTTTAATTTATTAAGCCTATAATTTATTTTTACTCAGTAACGGATATGATTTAAAATGTAGTGAATTACATTTCTTTTTTAAAAACATACTCAAGTAAAAGTAAAAGTACAGATTTTAAAAACAACTTAAAGTATAAATACACAAAAAAGCTACTCAGTTACAGTAACGTGAGTAAATGTAATTTGTTACTTCCCACCTCTGGGGCCCCACATGCCTGATCTAAAGCATCATTTTGGGTTTTTTCCCTTTAGTTTCATAGTAAATTTTAAATGTGTGTTTTTTTTTCTCCACCCTCAGTTTTTTGAACACACATCAGATGGTGAGATCAGCTACAACACGCGAGCACCAGCTGGGTGCATCGTGGGGGACAACGTGAGCACCTACCTGACTGTCCAGCTGTGCAAAAAGCGAGGACAGCCCGTTCCATTGGACCAGAAATTTATCTTCCAAAAGGTAGAAAACAAGCTCGTTATTATAATTCATGTTTCCTGCCTCTAGAAGTGATCTTGTAGTTTGAACAGAAAGTTTAAGAACAGCAGAAGCACTCTGTCTGGGCATTCTAATTATAGATCAGCATGCAGCTGCCGTTATTAATAGTTAAAAAAGTCACTGAAACAGTTTGTGTCGTGACAGAAACATGGGATGTTCTAGAGCAACGACAGAATGCGTGTTTACCGTAAATCCTCTAATACTGGCCTGTATTCATTTATCGGCCGGGCATCATATTTTGGCCGGAGTCGGCGGAGGTGAATAATGGCCGGTATTTTATTGTGGCCAGGTGGAATATGGTAACAAGCAAGTACGGGGGGCGGTTGTGTCATCCGTCTCACTTTTGATTTGCCAGTGATAGACGGCGAGGGTAACTTTAACCGTGCGGAGACGAAGAGGAGGCAAAAATTTGATATCAAGTTCAAAGAGAACGTGCTGATTATGCTGCAGAACACTCTGGGGAGCGGTAGCAGGGGTTGTATGAACTAGTCGACTTCACCGCTCTATAGTGACTTTTTATGCCCGTCATCGACTAGTCGCTGTCACGTGATAATGACCGGCAAGATGCAGTCCTCGGAAAAGACAGCAGCCTGCTGTCAGCAGGTGACAAGCTCCTGCGCGTCGGGAAGCAACGCGCTGTGCCAGAGCGTCGGCACTGACACCCGCCGTAAAACGGACATTTAACCAAATTGTGACGTTTACCCTCTTGCAATTTAACCTTCCCCTCACCCCCATCCTAACCTTAACCAGCTTGCGCATGCAAAGCTCTGATTGTTGACGCGCTCCAGACATCTGCGTCCTGAGCACGGCCAAATCAGGTGTCGCCACCTCAAAAACTACTTTAACACGCGATCGTTCATGTCGGCTCATTTCCTTTTATGTTTTCTGTCTTTTATTCTTTTATTTGTGCCTGATGCATTTCGCTGCTGTGGATCGGGGCGCATCACCTGTTTTGTCCTCTGTGACGCATCTAACTGATGTGGCCAGCGAGCACTCCGTTGTTTTTGCGGTCGGTAGATCTTTTAGAACTGCAGTTCAAAGGTAACTCATAAGGTGAATATATATGAACCCAGGTAGCAGTTTCTCTTTAGGACTGAGAGGAGATGCAGGAAGATAATAAACAGGCAGGACAGAAAAATAGTCAAATAAAAACAAGTTAGTTTTTGTACCTGCTGGTTGCAATAAACAGACACCATATAAGGTAATCAGAAGTGAGGAACAGAAAATGAAATAATTTTTTTAATGTTTAGAGCAGCAGGAACTCCGAGAGGCTGCAGGCGCATCAGTGAGTTTGCGGCCGCTGCGCGAGGGGGGGGGGGGGGGGGGGGGGGGCTGCAGCAGAAACTACCGTTGTTAAAAGAAATGTGTTTAACTTTGAAAATGTGGGCGCAATTTTAATTGTCAAAAACTCCAGCGAACCATTAGTTCATTTTGCTCAAATAGAAATAGAGGCCTGCCTCTAATACTGGCCCTCCTTCCAATAAAGGCCTGGAGCTTGATGAGCTTGAGTCAAATACAGGCCCGGGCCTGTATTAGAGGATTTACGGTATTTAGCCTGGAGCTGTTTAGCATGTGCTAATGTAGCTTTAGCATGCTAATGTCTGCCATGCCATCTAAATGTAAATGAATATAAAAACTTGGAACAAAGGTAACAAGGGTGGAGTCAGCTCAGTCATACCTTTAACTTCCTGTCGGTGTGTGAGTGATCCACGAGCCCATTGGTTCTATCATCTAGTTCTAAAAGGCTTCATCATTTTTTCCAGGATGGGACTCTGCTTCATGTCCAGAGCCAGAAGTGTGTTGAAGCTGTGGATAAGACGGACAACGGGACACCGGCCCCGTCGCTGCAGCGCTGCTCCGACAGCTTCCTCCAGAAGTGGTTTTTCGAGGAGAGGATGTAAAGTCATAAACTGCTCACTTTTATTTTCCTCCTTAAGACCGATAATATCCAGGAGAGGATTGTGAGCAGATTTATTTGCTGGCTGGATTTGAAAATCCCAGATGCCTTCTCATCATCAGGATCAGCTGGGACGACTGGAACCTGTACTGTCTAAAAGCACTTGGTGGGGAAAAATAAATATTCACTAGTTTACAACTTGATGACTTGCTGTACAATGTAGGATAATCTGCATTTATTATTTCTTGTTTTTATACAAAGAGATTAATTTATTCCTCTTGTGCTTTTCTGAAGGGAAGTGCTGTTTGTCACCAGCTGGGCTCTCGTTGTAGTTGTGTTGTTTGTCCTGTAGAGGGGGCGAGCGCTCCTCAGACAGCGGGATGGATTCTCAGCAGTTCTGATCAAGAACTGATCTGATGAGTCGATGTTTGTTGCTTCGTGCCTTAAAGTCGTTATCATGTGACTCATGATGACGGGGAGACCCGCGGTCTCAGTAAGCCTGTTTACATTCATCTTAAGGGTGAAATGATATTTATATTTAGAATTTTTCTTTATGCTTTTTCAATTGAGTTCAATTCAAAAATACTTTATTAATCCCAGAGGGAAATTGATTTCTAACTTCCTTAAATCAGGTTCAGCTTATTTCACACATTTTGGTTGAAATGGGGTCAACTGGGTGTATTTTAGGGTAGTTTATTCTGTTAAATCTGAGAGTCAGTGCCTTTTTGACTGTTTCATGTAATTCATGTGTTTTCCTGCCACTTTATTAGATGAAGACGTCAGAGTTGTGACAAAGTACCTGCACTGGTGTGGGGTCTTTCCCTGGAGAGTGTACATTTTCCTCTGGTGGGCTAAACTGGTGTGTGCATCCCAGTTAGACGTCTGTAGATGCCTCTGAACCGGGACTTCCGTTACTCGTGGCTGTCCCTCCGGCTATGCAGCAGACGCTCGCTCCAGAGTGCTGCGAGGCCATCTGGCTTCACGATTGATATTTTTTTCTTGTTCTCTCTCACTTGATTCCAATTATTTGTGTCAGAGGTGTTTCAGTGGAGGACTCCAGTCACGTGAGCACTCTTCTACACTCCTGGAGAATTTTGATAATGGAGCTGAATGAATGAAGCTACTTGTGACCTCTTCTTTAAACCATTAACCTCCTCGGACTCTGAGCCCGTCACTCCCAAAAGACCGCTGTTGGGAGCTAACGCTAAAAAGACCATCATGTTGAAATTGATTTTCAGTACTGAGCGTATACTTCCAAGAGGACGGATGAGTGGACGGAATTTTGAAGAGGCACAGCTGGGGATTGAGCGGGACGAGAATTCCCTCGTTTGCCAAAAGTAATCAATGTGAGGATTCCGCAGATAACATCTACATGTTTGAGCCTACTTTACACGAGCCCAACGAAGCAGCATTAGATTGATTAGTTTCCATTATGCACAACCACTTAGAGATTTGTTGCTCCGTGTGCAGCTTTGGTAGACAGGACCATGAGATAGCTACGCTGAGACAAAGAGATGCACGGAAGGAGCTCCAAGTCTGCTGAAATATGGCCATAATTACTGGGCTTCAGTTCCCTGTAGTGCATAAGCGGGCTTTTTGTTGGGATTATAAGTCATACATTGCTAAGTGCTAAGTGAAGTGGACCAAATGACCATTGGGGACAATATCGGTCATAATAGGAGGGTAAAAGCATCTATCTCACTTTTTCATCTTAGGTGTGTTCTTGCTTTGTCGTATCTCTAATTCCATGCTGTAGTTCTTTTTTTAAAATGCAGAGCAGTTCTGTTTACCTGTTTTGTCGCTAGAGGTGTGAATCTTCACTTGTCTCCCGATTCAATTCGATTACGATTATTGGGTCAACGATTCGATTCGATATCCCGATGCATCACGATTATTTCATATTGATTTGTTTTCATCGACAAATAGAAGATGTCAGATATTTGCTTTTTATTATTTATTTTTCTATCTAAAACGTAATTGACACAACCTGCCAGCCCTCAAAATCTCTCCATCCACAACAGGTTAGGACAAAACATTTAAACATTTAAGAAGATTTAACAAAGTAAAGCAATCTGTTTCCTCGTTCAACACCACACCTCAGGCTGAGAAAAACACGCTTTGTAAAAACTCACAAAATCTAAAAAAGTGCTGAAAACCTACAGGACACATAATGTAATAATAAAATACATAATGGGTTCATATGTGAGTGTTTAATGTCTCTGAGCAGCTCTAGAGTCAAATATTTATGCCACAGTTGAAGGGTGTCAGAAATAACACCAAATGAAATGTTTGACTTAGTTTATTTTATTTGAACCCAGTGGTTCGTTTCTGAAATGTTGGAGAATGAATCAAGTTCTGTTTGATGCAGAAAATAATACAACATTAAACAAATTCTACACTTCCAATAATATTTAAGATGTGTGTTTTATTCTTTCTGATAATAACACCAGCAGAAGGCTGTGGGCTGGATTAGGATTAAATTACCCAGCTGATGGATCTCTTTCACTAACCAGTTAACTACAAACCTTTCCACTAACCTGTCCTGTGTAACCCTCATGTCCATGCTGTCTCTGGAGGAGCAGATAGGAAACAAGACCTCCTGTAACTTAAAATGAGCTTCCTCCCAGTTTTTTTTTAAATAGAATTTAACATCAGTTTATCATCATGAAACAAAATAATAAAGTGGAACAAGAACTTCTATCTTCTATTTCTCTCTCCTTTTAACTTCTCTGTGTCCCTAAATAAAAGACAGACGATCAAGCTGCAGCCGCTGTCACTGACCCCGCCCCCTCCCCAAGACCAGATCTCCCTACATTACAACAAGCAGTCTGGCTGAGCGCTTCCAGGAGAAATAATAATTCAATTATGAGAATAATAATGTGTGTTTGGAGGAGCGTCCTCCGATCCTCTCTCTTGTGTGAGCAGACAATGTCTCTCTCTCAGTTGCTGTGGAGTGAGCGGAGCGCGCGACGTGACAACCCGCTTCATTCACGGCCCAAATCCAACAGAACCGGTCAGGCTGATTCGGTTCCGGTTCGGTCTCAGGTTACAACTCCAGCGCTCAGCCCTGCAGTACCACATTAAGGCGGAACCACTTGGTAAATGTGGAGGACGCTCACTCTGACAGATTTGGATGCTGCGCTGGTGCTGTCGTTAAAAAAACAAAACTACATTCCACTATAATCGATGATGGCGTACTCTTCTACGATGCAGAATCGTTTATGTCCGCATCCCGATGCATCGATTATTTGATTATTTTCCTCAACTCTATTTGTCGCTACGTTTCGTTTGCGGCTGCAGACTTCCTCAGGCTGACGCTGATGGTGGCGTCACTTCCTTCTCCGTTTATCTGCGGGCAACAGAGGACGTTGTCGCCCTCTGCTGCCCGCTCTCCCCTCTCCGACGATGCAGTCCCATGCGTGGTCCAGCGTGTAAACTCCATCGTCTCTGTTCATGGTCCCACATCCACGTCTCCTTATCTCGATAGCTTCTTTTATCCATCTTTTGTATTTTTGTTGTTCGGTGGTTATGATCCGTGTGCTGTCCCAGTCCATTATATGGTTTTCTCTTGTGCAGTGATCTGTTACGGTTGACTTCTTTATTGTACTTTCTGCTTCTTCTTTTGCTGATCTTGTGTGTTTACGATTTGCCTCTTTCTCGCACTCCTTTCTGTGTTCTATTGTTCGTGTGTTGAGTTGGCGTCCGGTTTCTCCTACGTATGTTTTATTGCAGTTTGCATGGGATTTCGTAAATGACTCCACATTTAAGTCCAGCTGGTATTTTGTCTTTTGGGTGCACAAGTCTGTTTCTAACTGTTGTGTATGGCTTTGTTGGTGTGTTTATGTTGTGTTTTTTCATTGTTGCTCTTATTTTTTCCGTTATGCCTCTGATGTATGGTAGGGTTATCACTGGTTTTGGTTCTTGTCTTTCTGGGTTTCTGGTTCTTTTTTTGGGTTGTTCTTTGCTTTCTGTTTTTGTTTGTTGTTTTCCTTTGTTTATTGCCCATGTCGGGTATCCGCAGGTCTTTAAAGCGTGTTGTATGTGTTTGTCTTCTTGTTTACGGTCTCTCTCTTCTGTTATTATGTTTGCTCGGTGATATAATGTTCTGATTACTGACATGTTGTGTATGGTGGGGTGTTCTGATGTCCATAATAGATATTGGTCTGTGTGTGTTGGTTTCCTGTATGTGTTTATGTTTAGGGTCCCGTCGGTCTGCCTGGTGATTTTCATATCCATAAATGCTATACTGCCTTCTGTTTCTAACTCATAAGTGAACTTTATGTTGCCCGTGTCGTCAATGTTATTCAAGTGTTGTGTTGGTGTTTCTGTTTGTCCTTACAGTATGATATCCAGTACGTCGTCTACGTAGCGTTTCCATAGTTTTATTTTGCAGTTTGGGGGGGCGGTGGCTACGGCTTTTTGTTCAAGGTCTTCCATGAAAAACTCGCACAGGGTGGCTGATAACGGGTCACCCATGGCGAAGCCTTCCATTTGTTTGTATATTGTGTTGCCGTATGTGAAGTAAGTGGAGTTAGCTACCAGTCCTATCAGTTGTGCTGATAGTTGTTCAAGCAACTCAAAGAAGTCCAGACGCTTTTCTTTCAAAGCTCCTTAGACTACAATGACCTGGATGACTGATTACCTACACAGACATGTGGGAGGAATGCGCATCAACATTTGAAATTGTTCAACAAAAACACCCAAAAAGTCATATTTTCTTCTCCGCATCACTTATTGATGTTAAATAAATTGCGCTTCATCCACATCATGATGATTAAAACGGAACATCATCCACGTTTAACTGCTGGAGACGTAAATCATGACGCTCAGCGGATAATGAGAGAAGAAAAGTCTTGACGTGTGTGTGTGTGTGTGGGGGGGGGGGGGTGCGCGCTAAGCTTTTCCAACCATATCTGATTGGATGGGTCACCAGCTGCTGAGTGAGATGGTGAAATATTGTGTCAGAGCCAAGCCTCAGTTTCCTCTGGCCCTGCAGTCGCTCTCACTTACTCACTGGTGATACTTGCCTTGCCTTTTCGCTTCACACCAGCAATCTCTCTCTGCATAAAAGGCATGAAAAAACAGTAATCTGACTTATCATTTCATACAGAATAAATAAAACATTACAAAATGTGCAGTCTTTTGTTGCTTTTTTTAAGATAAAATCAGTTTTTTTAGCACACTGCAAGGAATAATGGCGTTGAACATTTGTGCCCCACCGAAAGCATCACATGCGTCAAGCTGGTTTCCTGCTTGCACAGAAGAAATGTTCTAATGCAAAACCAGCCCAAAGAAGAAATCTTCATATTGTGACAAATGCTTCCTAGATGCCACACGGTTGCTTCTTAGAAACATGAAAGGCACTGCAGAGGACTGTGATGCCTCCCTCTTTCCTTTCACCAGTCAGTTTTGGAGGATATTTGCAAAAATCGGCATTAAATCAATAAAAAAATTCACAAAACCACATTGTTGTTGCAGTGTGTTGATAGAAAGAAGATTTGTGATCCACTGCATTGATGTAACACTACACAGTCTATGCTTCATATGCGTCTTTAATGCTAATGCAAAACAAGACTCCCTGTGGTGCAAGTCATTGGAGATGCAGGGCTTCAGTTGTCAGGGAGCTAGAGAACCGTAGGACGAGCTGCAAACATGCACACACACACACACACACACACACACACACACACACAGATTGTAAGCCCTTTCCACATTGGGAGCCGTTTTGGATTGGTGATCCAGAAAACCCGGAAGAGCTCAGGAGCAGCAGTCAGCAGCATAGATGACACACTTTCTTTTCTTTCCGGAGAAAAAAAACATCGGCAGAAGACGCGTGAGGCCCAGATACGAAGATAAAACTCACTGACATCTGATAAGGGTGATCTGAGGAATTCTGTCATCAATTTAGCAATGTTATTGGCTGATATGTAGCCTGGTAAGCCATTTCTATACAGACCCGCAATGCAAAATGTTTTTGCCATTTGTACGGTTGGTATAGATTTCTAGGCTAGCTGGTATTGGAGTTAAAATATAATATCAGAACTTATCGGTTTTTACTCTATGACACTACTTTTACACACCATGCACTTATTATACATCAAACTCTTCCGCTACTTCTCCTCTCACTCACAATATCAAAATAATACAGATCTGACATTTGTTTTTTGAGACTTTTCTTTGTTAGTATGGCCCAACGTGTGAGGAAATAAAAATATGCCCTGTGTAGTGGGCGTTTGTCCGGATTGTCTAGTAGAAAACTAACGGTAGCATTAGCAACTACACCACACGGCAGAACTCCTTCAGGCTTGTTTTATTTGTGGAGATAAAACATCGAGGTTGCAAAGCAAACAGAGACATTGGTAGAGTTGCGATGCTGTTAGCCAATCAGAGGTGAGATGTTCAAATATCAGAAAATAAGAATCCAAATCCTGTTGTGTTCGCTCACCTGTAGTTAACTTCTATTTGAGATTAACTCACAAAGCAAGAATTTATACTTAAGACCACTGAACTAAGTCTTTAACGTCTATGTATGTATGATAGGGGATATATATGCTTTTAGTTAACTAACATTATTTAGACTTTCCACAAGGTTGGTTTTTTGGAACATACCCGTAAGTTATTTACACAGTCAAAGCTGCTAAAATTTGTTGATCTCGTAAAATATAATACAGTAATAGTTCTCTATAAAGTATTCAATAAATTATTACCATCTAACCTACAACGATTTTTTATAACTCCAGAGCGAGTTTATACCTTGAGAGGATTTGTATATTTTTCATTGCCGAGAGCCCAAACCACTCGGAAATGTTTTTGTGTGTGTGTGTGTGTGTATGTGTGTGTATGTGGAGTGAAACTCTGGAACAAACTGGACTTACAAAAAAAGCAAATTCAAACTGTCCATCAATTTAAATAGTTATAAAAACATCAGGTCTGGTCAAAATGTAGAGATGAGGGTCTTTAAATTAATCTGTCATTTTACTCTGTCTCAAAGCATAAACATGTTATTACAGTTCCTTACAATTGTTGCTATATTGTCTGTTAAAATTGTTGGTATTTGTCTTTTACCATTGTTGATATGAATTGTGGTCAACGGTAAAATTGTATAATGTAAAAATGTAAATTGTAAATGACCTGTTGCCTGTGGTAACGCCATCATGCTATAAAAATGTAAAAAGAAATAGTTAAACAAAGTAATAGCAACACTCTTATTTGTTTTTGGACTGTATTGGGATTTGGGGCTGGGATTATATAAGTTTTCTTCTTCCCACTCCCTTTCGGGCAGAATAATATGGCCATGTATGTTTATGCCTTTGTATAATATAATATTATAATAGTATAATATTTACCTTGTTTACTTAAACGTGCCATTGCCTGAAATAAATAAATAATTAAATAACAATAATAAAACTT